GAAAAAGAAAGGATAAAAAAGGGTGGGGGAAGCAAACAAATCAAAAAGCAAAAACAAACAAACAAAAAACAAAACAAACAAACAAACAAAAAACCACGGGGTGTATCCTCTGATTCTGTAGACTTTAAGTCCCTTGACTTCCCCTGGAACTGGTCTGTCCAGCTGGTCTTCTGGGGGAGGGGCCTGCTGTGCTGATTTTCAGGTGTTAGCACTTGGGGGAGCTGCTCTGCCCCTGCCTGCTGCAGGGCTCAGCGGGGTTGTTTACCCCGTGAGGCCCCAGGAGGAACAGGCCCAGTGGTTACGGCAGCTCTGGAAGCCTGGATTCAGCCACCGCAGGAACTACGGGGCTCTCGGTCTGCAGGGCCTGGAGGCTCCGGGGCGGGGCCGCTGATCTGCTCAGCTCGGGGCAGGAGCGTCCTTGCTGTCCTGGGCCCTCCCGGCCTCTGCCTGTCCCGGGGGAGGCCGGATCCTGGGCTGTGTCCCGGCGCCCTGTGCTCCGGGGCCTGCGCTGTAGGATTCGCGCTCCCGCCCCGCAGCCCCCTCCGCGGAGCCGCCGCCCGAGCCCCTCCGAGCTGCTCCGGCCCCGCCGTGCGCGCTGCAGCCCTTAGGGAGCTCGGCGCACTCTCCCGGGGCGCAGGTGTCTGTTAGTGTCCCCGGGAGCCCCAGGGCATCCCCGCCCTCCTGGGTCCTGCTCCACCTCCCTGCGGGCCCCTTTCCGCCCGCCGGGAAGGTTGGTGCAGCTCCTGCTCCTCCGGGACGGGGCTCTCCTGTCCTGGGGACACTCGCCCCGGCCTCAGCCCGGCTCCTCGCGGGGCCCCTCCCCCTCGGAGGCCTTTTGTTCCTTTATTTCTTTTTCCCCGTCTTCCTACCTTGATAGAAGCGTGAACTCTTCTCACTGTAGCATTCCAGCTGGTCTCTCTTTAAAATCTCAGGCCGAATTCGTAGATTTTCAGGATGATTTGAAGGTTATCTAGGTAATTTGGTGGAGACAGGTGACTTGGGGACCCTACTCTTCCACCATCTTGCCCCCCTGGCTACTTTAAATGCAGAATTCAGTAAGAACACAATGAAAGGTCGACTTCTTTCTTTAATATCTTCAGGGGGAGGAAGGGGACAACTGGGATGAGTAATTATAAAGAAATGGGGTGGCTTTTAACAACCACATCAGAATTTGTATATCCAAATGATCACTGAGCTTTAAATAGCCAAAGAGCAAAACATTTCATCATTCCTCTCTGGAAACTGCCTCCAGAATTCACTTTGTTTTTGCCCAAATGTGATATACTAGCATACCTAATCTTACTCCCCAGCTATGGCACCACATCAATGAGGTCTAATTTCAAAAACCGAATCCATCTTCAAGGAACCAATAATTCATTAATTTATTCATAAAAGACATTTAGAAGACTTGCTACAGACTCTTAAAGTCTGTTTCCAAAGAGACATTTGGGTAACATTTCAGCACTTGGTAACTTCAGTGGAAAAAAAAAATACATGGCATCTAATATACTTGCATCTATAAGTTCAGGTACTTTAAAGAAAAATGAAACTTCCCACCCAGACTATGATACCACTCTAAACAGAATCATGACTACTATTCTGTGGTGTTCAAGAAATCGTAAAGATATCACAGGGTAAAGATGAAAAAAGTGCTGAGTTTGGGAAATATTCCAATTTGTCCCTATTCTCTTAACACACTATTTTAGGACTCTACTTTTCCTGTCTAGTTTAAAAAAAATTATTTAAATTCAATTTGCCAACATATATATAGTATAACATCCAGTGCTCATCTCAACCTAATTGTTTACCCCATTACTGATAATCAGAGCAGCTGCATTTAATGAGTATCATCAAGGATTCCACACTTGAATAAACTTCTTAATCTTTCTTCCCTTTTAATCCTTAAGACCACCTTGTGAGGTAGGTACTAGCAATGTGCCCATTTTACAGAAGAAAAGGGAAACTGAGGAAATGTCTTGCCCAAAGTCACACAGTGGGAACATCAGAGATCAGACCTAGGTTTGACAGCAGAGGCCCTGCCCTTAACCCCTGGGCCACCTGGCAACCTGAAAGCAACCAATGGTACCTGGGATGTGCTGCAAGTGGGTCAGCGATTTGCCATCATCAGAGAAGATAAAGGAGAAAATAAAGATTTTGCTTGCATTGCCATTCAAATACGGAAAGGAAATAATGTCATAAAACTCAGATAAAATAAGACTGGTTAATGTCAGAAACGTCAATTTCATGCTTTCTCAGGGCTATACCCCTTGATTTTCAAAAAAACCTTTGATGGTCCCCAGCCCCTAAGACAGGCTGGGGGTGACAACAGCAGTATTCAGGCTATTTCTTCTTTCACATCAGGAAGCTACAGATTTCCCTCTCCTAAAATTCACAGTACCACCCTACAAACTCTATCCCACACTGAAATAACACCAATAGATGGCAATGTTGCTCAGTTTTGCAGAATCATGACCCTAGCAGCCTCCCATTAAGTTTCTTTCATCACACCAGCTAAATGCTAACTGAAGGATGAGGAGATTCAGCATTGGCACCAGCTTGTGAGGTAGAGGGTTCTCCCTGCAACCCCCAGAACGCACCTCTTCAGCTCATCTTCTGGTGTAGCCCTGGGCACGAGTCTAGTCCTTACCAACACTCACGCAATGACAGCCTGCTGGGCTCCTTTGCACTGCAAGGTCATAAAGTTTGCCTCAATGTTACCACTTTGAAAGTCTATAATGATCCACCCAAAGCATCTTCCCAAAGCCTTTAAAGCATGCATGAAATACTCTTACCACCAGGAAAAACCAGTAAACATTACTTAAACATACACACACACAATGGCCTATCTGGCTCCCTTTGCACAGGAGGTACTTTACTACCTCAACTCTCCCCATCTCCAAGGCGGTCTTCACTACTTCACCTCAAATTATTTTTCTGTCACCTCCCTTTCCTCCACTGTGTCACCAACCAGCCATAAACGTTGGCTTTGCGTTTCCTAGAGAAAACAATTATGGCAGTGCTTACACTTCTGGGTTCTCTGAAAGAAAAACAAGTATACCTGCTGTGTGCCAGACTTTCATGGGTCATTTCGTTTGCAAAACACACTTATCAGGTAGTATTTATCCCCATTCCACAGGTGAGCAAACTAAGATTCAGAGGCAGGGCTCCCCAGGTCACAACTGTTTCCCTAGTGAGGACTTGAAATTTGGACTCAGGTTTTTCTGATTCTACTTTTTCTACTTTATCAGAATGTGCCACTTTAAAGTTGGAAGAGGGGCAATGGGGTTGCTGTCAGTTAAGCATCCGACTCTTGACTGTGGTTCAGGTCATCATCTCAGGGTCGTGGGATTGAGCCCCATGTTGAGCTCTGTGCTCAGCAGGGGGTTTGCTTCTCTCACCACCACCACCCACTTCTAAAATAAATTTTTTAAGAAGGATTTTATTTATTTGACAGAGAGAGAGAGAGAGAGCACAAGTAGGGGTAGCAGCAGAGGGAGAGGGAGAAGCAGGCTCTCTGCGAAGCAGGGAGCCCAACACAGGACTCCATCCCAGGATCCTGGGATCATGACCTGAGCCCAAGGCAGACACTCAACCAGCTGAGCCACCCAGGTGCTCAATAAATAAATCTTAAAAAAATAAATAAGTTAGGAATAAGAATATCTACCTGTGTAATATTATTTCTGAAAATGTAAAGATTCTAAAATCTTAAATCCGGGCAGCCCGGGTGGCTCAGCGGTTTAGTGCCACCTTCAATCCAGGACATGATTCTGGAGACCCGGGATCTGGTCCCGCGTTGGGCTCGCTGCATGGAGCCTGCTTCTCCCTCTGCCTGTGTCTCTACCTGTGTGTGTGTGTCTCTCATGAATAAATAAAATCTGTAAAAAAAAAAAAATAAAATCTTAAATCCTTGCAACCTTTCACCTAAAAAATAGTGAATTATTTTTTTAGTGAATTACTTTGAAATAAAATATACTTAGTTTTAAATATATATATATATATATATATATATATATATATATACACTTAGTTTAACAGTTTTACAAGTGTGCTTTTTCATATGTATTCCTAAGGCATCTCTGTATCTCATAAAATGGCAGAAAGACTAAGTTTTTTTCAGCTTATATATAAGAAAGCAAAGATTTAAAATAAACAGGGGTTTATTTTTTATTTTTAAAGATTTATTATAGAGAGACACACAGTGATAGCACAAGTGGGGGATGGGCATAGGGAAAGAAACTCAAGCAGACTCCCTGCTGAGTGCAGAGCCCCACAAGGGGCTAGATCCCACAACCCATGAGATCACAACCTGAGCCAAAATCAAGAGTTGGACGCCTAACAGACTGAGCTACCCAGGTGCCCCAAATTGAGGAGTTTAAATATCTCTCCATTTTAGAAATGAACTATAGTTAGTTTTAAGGAAGCTAACATTCATGTAATCAGATTTTTTAAAATTCTGAATTCAGTTGGTAAAATCATAAATGGGAGGGGGGTAGTAGGGAAAAGATATCTCATTTCTTTTTAAACCAAGTATTCTATGAGAAGGGGAAAACTAAGTTAAAAATCACATTCAAGTAAATAGTAACTTAAAGCGAAAATACTTTAATAATAAGGGCAAAAAAAAAAACCCCAACCAAAATAAAAATTTTATTCCACGAATAACAATGATTTTTCAGACTTGTAGACTATGCTTAAAAATGAAGCAAAGCCTAACCAGTCCCACCCTGGTAAACCTGCTTAAAGCCATTTCCCATTCTTGTTGGTTTAATCCCTGTCAGATGTAACATTATGAACTGATTACTTTCTAGAACTGAATCTCCTTATAGGAGAATTTAGTACAGTAGAGGCACAGATGTCACTATTTCTCCTGTTTGGGAACGAGAGAAAACATCAGCCTCTATGAAGCTCAGAGAATCAACATAAAATAATCAATTGTACAAATAACTATTTAAACAGATGAGAGTAGGTATGGTGATTTTTTTTTAAAGACTTTATTTATTTAGTCATGAGAAACACAGAGAAGAGAGAGAAGCCGAGAGATAGGCAGAGGGAGAAGCAGGCTCCATGCAGGGAGCCTGATGCGGAACTCGATCCTGGGTCTCCAGGATCACACCCTGGGCTGAAGGCGGCACTAAACTGCTGAGCCACCTGGGCTGCCCTGTATGGTGGTTTTTATGACATGAGTGCTTCCTCTTGCCCCCTGAGATGAATCAGAATAGCTGGAAAGGACTGAAAAGTCCACCACAAGCCAGGCACTGTGCTAATAAGCATCCAGTAAGGGCCAAGCCACTTAATCCTCCAGCAAACCTCTGGGCACCATTATTATTTTTTACTTTTGTTTCCATCGAGGTGAGATTCTTACTACATAAACCCATCTTAAAGCAAAATATTCAGGGGCATTTAGTATATTCAGAATTGTGCAACCACCACTGCTCTGAAACATTACCCCTAAAGGAGACTCTGTACCCACTCAGCAGTTGCTTCCGAGTCTTCCTTCCCCCTGCTCCTGGTACCCACCAATCTGTGTTCTCTATGGATTTACCTATTCTGGATATATGCCTGGAATCAAACAATATGTGGCATTTTATGTCTGGCTTCTCTTGCTTGGCATGTAGCCGGGATTCATCCATGCTGCATGTGCCAGCACTTCCTTTCTTTTTGTAGCTGAAAGGTATTCCATTGTATATGTATGCTGATAACATTAACTCCATTTTCTAGATGAGGAAACAGGTTAAGATACCACAGCTAGTAAGTGGGAGTTGGGATGCAAACCTGTGTCTGACTCTAAACCAAGGAGGCCTTAGCCATCCTGTCCTCCAGCCAAGGCCAATGAAAGAGACCAAGCAATTGCTAAAACTTGATACCAAAACCAGAGTCTCACTGACAGTTTAAAAACCCTGAAAACTGTAAGCCACCTGAGGAGGTGGTGCCTTAAAGGCGGCACACGTGTGCAACGCAGAACCATCTATCAGTGCCCCACTGCGGCCGGAGCTGGGCCCACACCTCCCAAGGGTGACTGTCCAGTTCTAGCCTCGGTTCTTCAGAAGGTAGGATGAAGGTAATGCAGCTCTGTGATGACAGAAAAGCCCCTCCGGAACACAGAAGACCCCTGGTGAAGGTCCTCTCAGCTCTCCCACTTTCTGTGCACAAACAATGCCTGCATGTTATTGGATGGCCCTAACTTCCACAAACGCATTTCATTCTCAGCCCAGACTTAGCTCTGAGTATAAATAAATAGACACTGTGTCTTCTTGGTCTCTTGCCAGTCTGGTGGGTTTGAGTCACTCCTGGGAAGAGAGAGGAAACTCTGTCACATGTCAAGTGCTTTTTGAGTTCTACTCCTTTATCCACACAATGATGTAACTATTATCAGCAACCCAATTTTAGAGATAGGAAAATTGAAGCTCAAAAGGACAATTGCCCAAGGTCACGTAACCACTGAAAGGCAGAGCTGAGATTTGACTGGTTCCTTTCTAGAAGGCTCATTCCATTACCTAGACTTTAATAAAATTAACTCTGGGGAGACCAATTAAAAGTTAAGAACCACACAATGCTCCCAGGTTTGCAAGTGGGATCCACAGATGGTCCTCACAGAATCTGTGAACCTACTGAAGACCTATGTAAGAATCATATACATGAACATGTTCCTGGTGGGGACCTCAGGTTGCACCCCAAACCTGAGGCGGGCGGACCACCCAGGTGTACCAGCAAATACCCGGCCCTGCCTGGTGTCCTGGTCTTTTTTTTAAAGTTTATTTTTATAGAGTGAATGGCATGGGGTGGGGGGATGGGAGGTGGGGTGAGGGGTGGGCAGAGGGAGAGGGATCCTTAAGCAGACTCCACACTGAGTGCAGGGCTTGATCCCATGACCCTGAGATCATGGCCTGAGCCAAAACCAAGAGTCTGATGCTTAATGGACTGTGCCACCATGGTGCTCCCAGCCTTCCTAACCTTTACTCGGACAGGCCCTAACAGGGCTGTATTTCTGATTTCACATGCTTTTCTAGGCTGGTGTCGCTTTAGCGGAGATCTTATAAAGGCTGAACACAGGATCAAGAGCTCTCAAGTCTTCCACTTGCACTTTGTTGTGGTGCTGTGTGTGTTGGCCACGTCTGAGACTCAAACCTTTGTCCTGTGGAGGGGTCCCATTATTTGAAGTCAAAAGTCTATTGCAGGATAAGTAAGAACACAGGTGTCTGCCCCATCTTAACCCCCACTATCTGAATATATACTCTAAGAATTTGCAAAAAAAAGTGGTACTCCGTATTGGCTATCTAAATAAAAAATAAGGAGTCTGTGAAGTCTGCAGCAAAATCACCTAAGTTATGTCTGGACCACACAACATGCCATGGTCTAAGCTGACTGCCTAATGCTTGTGCTAGATGTGTGGCATACTGGCACGACATTTCCCCCACTTTATTACGTAAAAGTGTCTCCCATAGGAGTGGAAAAGCCCATGAAGAAAGTAGGGGAGTTTTAAAGTTCTAGGAAATTCCTTTAAAAAAAAAAAAAGTGATAATGTATTGAGAAAGGTGATCATATAAAAGATACAATCTTGGCTAAGCATATGTTCCCTTTTTGTGTGTATGGTTTTTTGCACTGGGTGACAAAATATAACCTGCAAAAAAGTATTGGTTCTACAATTTCATGGTATTCTTGAGTGTGGCATGCTACTTTATAAAGCCAGTGAAATTCTTGTATGACAGGTGCATAGCCAGTCCACGTGATGCCACTAAGCACAGGATGGTATAGTGTGAAGCTTAGATGCCTTTGGAAAGCTGGAAAATGATGGAGGAGAAGGAGGATGTGGTGAAGAATTCCAGTTTTAAAGTAAGCTTGGAAGGTTCAGGATTTAAGACCCATGTAAAACACTTTGAAGAAAGAGTGAAACAACTTCTGTTCTCACTGAGGTGGCAGCAGCTTCCCCACTGAACCACAGCCTGAAGGTGGTTTTATCACAGACCAAACTTCTAGTCTTGCTGAAACTGAGCATTTTTTTTTTAAGATTTATATTTATTTGAGAGAGAAAGAGAAATAGAGCAAGCAAGCACACAGAGGGAGAAGCAGCAGATTTCTGCTGAGCAGGGAGCCCGACACAGGGCTTGATCCCAGGACCCTGGGATCATGACCTAAGCCAAAGGCAGCCACTTAACTGACTGAGCCACCCAGGCACCCCGAACCTGAGCTTTAAAAAAAAAAAACCCAAAAACAACACACACACACACACACACACCATCTGTTACCTTTATTTCAGAAGGTAAGAAAAAAGTTCTAGGACATAATGCATCTAAAGCTAAGCTAATACTGCTTTTAGTTGGTAACTGAGGCTTATGTCAACCAAAACCTTTGGCGATACATCATCCCAGAACCCCAGGGCCCTTGGGTAATGCTGAAGAGTGCATGGCTTGCTACATGATGCTCAGACTGTGTATATGAAGGAAAATATTTCATACAAGGCCTTTCTAAAGATAATGCTTTTGGACATCCTTCTAGAGCTTTCAGTTAGCAATAATATCTGTGCAGTCTTACAGCTTTTCTACATCTTTATTTTAGCCTTTACATGAAGGAAGTCACCATAACCTTGAAGGCACATTAGCTGATGATAAGGTATGTGATGTGAAGGGCTCCCAGGAGGACGGTATGTGATGTGAAGGGCTCCCATGGGCCTTCCATGATGAAGGATTCATGGAAGAATTTTAACCATCAAGGGATATATACGCTGATCAGGCTTGGGGAGAGAAGTGTAACCACCAATGACAAATGAAACGGGGAAAAGATATGGCTCCTGAAATTTTTGCTGACTTTCAGGGTTTTAAGAAAGTGATGCTTCAAAGCAATGTCTTTCACTTTGCTAAGGATCCTGGAGAAAGCAAAGCCGGTAGTAAAAACATTGAACTATTAGCATCACTAAAGAGCAAAAGGAGTTAGTACTAAGAAGCAGTAATGGATGGTCATTATTGGTCTGGGGCAGGGGACGACCTCCCCTATTTGAATGCCAAATCTTTAAAATGTAGATCATGCAGGCATATGAGGATTCTGTTGCAAGAGCAGGATCATGGTGTGAACAGAGGCACCGCGTGAACACACACAACTATAAGCAGAATCTCGGGCTGCTGGGAGCCCCAGGACCATGTGTCAGAGGAATGCACACAGATACCCATCTCCTAGTCATCTCTTAGCTTCCAGCTCCTACCTTCCACTTTTGGGGTATTCAGTACCAAGGAGAAGATTGTCTGCCAGTGTCCTGAATTTGGACACTGGACGTATCTCAGACATTTGTCTCCCTCACACCATCACTGGCATCCCCCCTACTTATCTGCCCCTCCATCACTGCCACTTCCCAAACCTTCACTGGTATGCAAGCAAATTGAAAAAGGCTTGGTTAATTGTGTTTTACTAAATGCTAATTGAATTATGTATCTTCATACATTATTTCACTACATTTTTTTATTTAGTAACAAGTTCAGTGAGGCAAGATGCAATTTTTATCTAATACTGTACAATATTGTTGTGTAAAATACACAAACATGTCCATCAGTGAGTTTACTGAAAGTTAAAGATTAGGTTTTAAAGGCTTTCTGACATGGAAATCCTTGATAGACATTAAACAAATTTTTAAGTGTTTGAGTAATTGGTTCAAGTTCTTAGATACGAGGAGACACATTATTTGTTCCATTTAACATAATGGATCGATGGGGTCTTACAAATCCCCAAGTCTCCTCTCTGACACATTCTCAGGAACAGACTGGAGGTGAGTAACAAGAGATGCATGCACATAAAAGTGTTTGGGAAACTGTACCGTGCCACACGAATGTAAACTACTGCCATTTTCAGGTAAAATTGGAGAGTAACAGGATTTCCCTGTTGCTGGAAGAATCCTCTTGTGACTCATCTAGTCCAACCTTCATACTGGAATGGATGAGGACAGAGGTCCATAGACAAGAAGCTCGGGATCAGTCAGTCAGTGACTGACCCAAGGACGGATTCTGAAGGCCAGCACAGGGCTTTTTTGTCTCCTGGGTAATTTTATCTTATAAAATACTAATCACCTTTTGGTGCTGGGAGTGGCATGCCCTTTAAAACTTTTCAATTATCAGACAGCTATATAAGAGGACTCTTTACCTCACACTGAACTTGGCTTATTGTAGGACACTCAATAGTATTTGCTGGTAAATCATAGTTCTGAGGTTGGACTGTTAAAGTTCATCTTGGTCACTCCTCTCTCTTGAAGAAACCCAGCGGCTTAGAATCACCTCCTGTAACCAACGAAAATAAAAAGGTGATTAAAAGTTTCAAAAACAGAAATGAAAGAACATGCTAGGCATGTGAGATCACAGCAATGTTTCACAGAGAATTGTCTATATAATGAGGACACCTGCTCCCATTCCTTGTCACTGAAACACCAGGGGGAAAGGTGAAGGCAGCAATAGACACCTCACATGCAAATACTGTCTACCATAATCACACCAGATTTTATTTATTTATTTTTAAAGATTTTTTTTTTTAAGATTTTATTTATTTATTCATGAGAGACACAGAGAGAGAGAAAGAGAGAGGCAGAGACACAGGCAGAGGGAGAAACAGGCTCCACACAGGAAACCTGACGCAGGACTAGATCCCGGGTCTCCAGGATCATGCCCTGGGCTGAAGGCGGCGCTAAACCACTGAGCCACCTGGGCTGCCCTGACACCAGATTTTAAAATCTAAACGCGCCTTTGCATTGGTATTCCACTAGCAGGTTTCAGGAACAGGAGTACCAGTGTGAAAGCTAGCATTTAACATCAGAACCAGGTCTGAAATGGCACTGGTATATCCAGGCCGGCACTGAGAAGGGAGAAGTGCGTCTGGGCAGGCATCCTATGAACAGCTAACCTAGTGGGCACAAGCAGGACAAACTGCATGGATGAGGCAGGGGGCCAGGGAGGCCGACAGGCAAGGCTACAGTGGGACAGAGCAGTGGGAACAAGGAGGGAGGGTGCAGTGTCAGAGACAACATCGATGACCTGCTGAATATGGGGGAGGAGTCACAGATGGGGCCAGGGGTAGAAACAGTAACTGATGCTGGGAGACAGTGTGGCAGTCCTGCCAGAGAAAGACCTGCCAGGAAGATTCCCCAAAAGCCAGACAAGAAGTTCACGGAGGGAGTGAGCAGTGACACCTGAGTTTCTGGGAATGAGACCTGGGAGAGGCCTGGCTAGGAGGTGCCAGTGTCTATGAGAGCAGTGTCAGCTGAAGGGTGGGGACGGAGGTCAGAGGACATGGCAGACAGAGCAGCAGCAGGAATTAAGGGGGCGTGAGAGTGGGCTCAGCAGGGAGAGGGCCTGAGGGGCTCCCTGTTATCAAGGCTACATGGTTTTCATTTCTTTTCTTGGGACCACATGTTCCAGAGGACCCAATGTGGTGGACAGAATCTTTGCAATACCATGAGTTTGTCTCTGAGTTCACCTACCTGAACTTTGATTTGTTTCATACATTCTGGTGACTCCATCTCTTTGTCAGTCATGGTAGAGGGTTTAATCAAATAGCACAGCATGAGTTCCTATTGAGAAATGAAGAATAACCTCCACATCCTATACAATATAAATTTGGGTGTGTCAGTAGGAAATGCAGACAGACTCCATTTCCTCCCACCATGTGCTCCTGGAAACTCACAAATCACCTTGGTTTCCTCCTAGAAACATGACTGGGCCTGAGATATAGACCTGTCATTTAGTTACTGTTGACATGGCAAGAGATTGTAAATAAAACAAATATATGGATTATAATAAACACAGTATTTAACATATTGAATATATGCATAAGTCCCAGCAAATGGGTATAAAAATACTAGAAACAGTTTAGACTCCCTATTTCTAAAAGACAGAGGTGCTTTTTACAGGCCAAACCTAAGCAACTTAATCTGTATTCAAGGCAGCTGCCACCTGGCCTCTGCTGGACCTTCTGGCCTCCCCTCCCACAGCGCCTCCAGCAGCACTGGAGCAGAGTCAGAGGGGGTTCGCAATCTGTGTTCAGTTAGCAAATTACTGAGTAAAAGAGAACACACAAAGTTTTCATCCTTAGTAGTCCTGGTATGAGATGAAATTTCTCTCCTATCTCAATGGCAGCAGAATATAGCAGAACACAAATCAGGCAGTCAGATGACTCTGGGTTTGAATCCCAATTCTGCATATAAGCTGCAAGATCTTGGGTTCATCACTCAACATCTCTGATTCCTCACCCTCAGGGATGAAGATAACAGGGTGGTGAGAAAACATGCACTGTTTCTTTTCTTTTTTTTTTTTTTAAGATTTTCATTTATTTATTTATTCATTCGAGACACAGAGAGGGAGAGAGAGGCAGAGACACAGGCAGAGGGAGAAGCAGGCTCCATGCAGGGAGCCTGATGTGGGACTCGATCCCGGGTCTCCAGGATCAGGCCCTGGGCTGAAGGCAGCACTAAACCGCTGAGCTACCCAGGCTGCCCACATGCACTGTTTTTAGTTATAAATATTAATATTCTTCCTTTTTCTTCAAGAAATCTGCTAGCTTTGAAAAGAAACTTATCAATGCTCTGACTCCCCTGTGAATGTGTGTGACTGAATTTTTAGCATGTGCTGATGGCACCCCTGGCAGGCAGGCAATGCCCCCCTACATCAATCACTATAGGAAACTCTGAAGTTCAAGTCCTGGAGCTCAGCACCAGTGAGTGGTGGCAGGGAATACGAGAGGAGGCCAGCTTCTCACCTCATCTTTTAGAACCTTGCTGGCAGGAACACTGAAGTTCCTACAGATGACTTTTATGATTCTACTATATTTAAGAAAAAATAAATCCAACCATTTAAGTGACACATGAATGTCAAAGCTGATGTTGTTACCTTGGAGACGTTAACTGAAACCCTGCTCAAGGCAGCCAGGGACCTCCAACTGAAGGGTCTGCGAAGAGAGCCCTCAAAATGGTCGTCGACTAACTCAATGATGACAGAGTAACTGGAAGACACATAGGGAGCATTGTAAAAGCAAAAGGCATGAAATCAACCTCTTTAAAAAGAGTAATGCTTGTTCTACTAAGAATGAAGATACAGAAAATAAAAATGCAACATCTAATCTTAAATTCCCCTGCAATGTTATTGTGGAAAAGTATTAATGAACTCTCACTTTACATTACAAACTTTCAGGCTCATCTCAGCACTGACAAGGAAAGAATACAAGTATTTCTCCCAATAAGAAAGCCGTGAATTCATTCAACTATTTAGATAACACTCACTGATCTTAAGATGAACAATCAACTGCATAGACGAACTCAATGTATAACACTACAACACGTTATCGTAACCTATTTTTTAAAATAAATTAATTTTTTATTGGTGTTCAATTTACCAGCATACAGAACACCCAGTGCTCATCCCGTCAAGTGCCCCCCTCAGTGCCCGTCACCCATTCACTCCCATCCCCCGCCCCCCTCGTAACCTATTTATTATTTTACATATAGTACAACAGTGTTAGTGTAGAAGGCACAGATATAGAGCATCTACTCCTAAGAGGTGAAGAACAACATGATTATAACTATTTCTATGGCAGTGAAAATTACATTGGAGGTCAGAAGTTTCCTCCTGTCCCTTTAAGCTATTAACTTATTTAAAAATCATTCCAAACCTTGCATGGTAAAATGGAGGGCCTTTTCGATACAACACTGCAAAGAAAAAGAAAGAAAATGTATAACCATTTGAAATCAAAATCTTATTACTGACATTTCTCTTCTCCAAAGAGACATAAATACCCAATTATCTGTATATGGGTAGTTTGCAATATATCTTGTAGTCTATCTTAAAACTCAAACTGTTTATTTTTCTTCCTGGAACAAAATGCAATTAACAAAGCAACTCTATGATTGGGGCCCTAACATTCTCATCTCACCCTCACCCCACAAATGAAATCCAAATTTGAATATAAGCAATTTTGGTCTCACCTCTTGTCTTATACTCTACAGAGTAAGAATGTGAAATTATGTCAAACATGTTAAGTTCGTATAACATGGATCAGCGTTTTGCTATTTTCATTTTTTTTTGCTATTAATTTCAAATCGATCTAATTCTAAGTGTCTGAGGTACTCTGGCCAGGTACAAGTTGATTGAGTCTTGGTGCTAGAGAGGAATAAGAATCATGACTATTTTTAAGAAATAGTCAAAGTGGAGAAGACAGTCACATAACCATACATACGAGTTGGAGATCAGTCTGCCCTACTAATTCATTCTACAAATGTCAAAAGCCAGTGTCCATGAGAGTCTGAGGCAGGGGCCCTGTCATGCGGACTCTGGAACTTCATAGGGAACCTTTCAGAGGCACAAAGTCTATGGCAGGGAGTGGCTGTTTATCAAACCCACTCCCTCTCTTTCTAGGCACATGGCTAGATTGTTCCTCTCAAGCAGCCAGGTTGGCCCATAAAACCCTGCCACGTACCAAGGCTGTATTTACTTCTTTTTGAAGATGATCTTGAAAACCACTTGGTGAAGACCACAGAGCCACAAGGAAGAGCCTGGGCTCCTAAGGCACCTTGGAAGTTGATCTGCTCACCACTCAGAAACACCAGTTTTGGCTTTCACATGAAAAATTAACTTCTGTGGTTAAGACTCTGAGGTATGGGGCTTATATGTAACTATGGATATAAAAATTACTTTTACTAATGCACAATTACATCTGTAAGCTTATAGCTGTCCCCAGTGCAAAATCCGTGCAAAAAAGCTTTTTATCCTTTGAGGAATTGACAGAATTTTCCTTTTTGGCCATATCAGTACTGTAGCTAATCACATTTTCCTTAGGTTCAGCAAGCTCAGAGCTACCTTGATAGCATGAGTTAGTAACTCTGTAGGATCCCATGGACAATAGAGCAACCCTTCGCCTAGACTACACTTTCTAGAGTCACGTTTCCTTATTATTCTATTTCCTATTTAAATTATATTTAAAGGATTTGGCAAGTCAGCTCAAATTCACTGTGCCAGGGCACAAATTTTAGTAAATACCCCAACATACAATCCTCAACTTTCTGAGATATGGTATAGCGGAAGGAAACCACGTACTGGAATGAACTTGAATGCAGGAATTTTGTTTTCTGGCTGGTTTCTGCCACTCATGGTCGTGTGACTTCAAGTAAGTTACTAACATCTCTGAGCCTCAGTTTCCAAGAGTACAAAATGAAAAACGAGGGGGAAATTGAGATCTTCTCTAGCACTAAATACCATTATTTGTGACCAGGCACACATGTCTAATGTGCATCTGGAATACTGGAACATTACATAACTTGAAAGCAGCTCCTCCCCACAAGTTGGGTCATTTTGGATGATTGATGATGGTGGTATAGCTTAGAAGTTAAAAGCACCAGACAGACCCAAGTTCAAGTCTTATCAGTATCAAGACCACATGAAGATGCCCCCTATGTTTCAATCTCCTTATTAGGAAACCTGGGGGTAGTCATTGAAGGGAGAGGGGCTGACACAGTGACTGGCATAAAATGAAGGTTCAACATGTTACCTAGGATAGTAATCATAATGATGAGAGTGTATTCAGAGGGGAAAATAAAATCGTTTTACAAAAGTGCCTCTCAAGCAGAAAGATGAAAACTTCAGAAGTCTAAGAAGTCCTGGGCATTCAAAAATAAAGTCTGGAAGAATGGGGAAAAGAAGAGAAAGCTCCTTCTTATAAATGAATGCCAGCTATGGCATGTAGAAGGAATGAAAGAATTAGTAAATGATTACTGCAATAATTAATTCGGGCAGCCGTTATAATTACTGGGGACCCAGGTATGTAGTCTCATCCTGCGTATTACTTGTTAATTACAAAAGGAAATATGCAATTTTATAACAGACATCTGACACTGGTCACTTTAGCCAAGTGATCAAACTTAGTGTCATCAAGAGTGGGACAGCCTGACATTAAGTACCTCCTGATGGGGCATGATACATACAACTATGTGAGCCAAAGAATGTGAGCTGGAGTCTAACCATGAGGAAACAACTGAACATATCTAGAATGTGGGATATCCTCCAGGAATCTTCAAAAAAATTTGATGCCATGAAAAACAAACAAGGTAGAGAAACTGTTTTCAATTAAAAAAAAAAAAAAGCTAAAAAGGCTATAGTGAGCCACAATCTGTGAATGTGGCCTTATTTGGAAAAGGCTCTTTAGGGTAGCCTGGGTGGCTCAGCAGTTTGGTGCCGCCTTCAGCCCAGGGCATGATCCTGGAGACCCAGGATCGAGTCCCACATCGGGCTCCCTGCATGGAGCCTGCTTCTCCCTCTGCCTGTGTCTCTGCCTCTCTCTCTCATGAATAAATAAATAAAAATCTTAAAAAAAAAAAAAAGGAAAAGGCTTTTTGCAGAGACTGGAATGATGCAACCATAAGCCAAAGGACATCCAGTGCCACTTGCAGCTGAGGAGACAAGGGATTGATGTCCCCTACTGCCTCTGGAGGGAGCACAGCCCAGTGGACTTCTGGCACCCTGAGCTGTGAGAAAACGAATTTCTCCTGTTTTAAGCCCACTAAGCTTGTGGTAATTTCTTATGGCAGTCCTAGGAAAGTAAAAGAGAAACCTACAACGCCAGATGTGATAAGTCAACAGTGACTAGAGTCTGTATTGAATAAACCGTCACAAAACTCCCATAGCTGCGAAAGACATTTTGGAGACAATAGATGGAAATTTAAATTTTCTGGCATTTTAATGATATTGAAAGTTCTGATTCCTCTCAGGGATTATATGGTTTTATAGTGATGTAGAAGAATGTCCCTATTCTTATGAGTTGCATGCAAAAGCTGCGCGTGCAGATGTGGAAAATGTTAACAAAAACATTTAAGAAGTTTGGAAAAATAAGCCAAGCGAGTGGTTTAGGAAAGAACCAAGACATGGGAAGAAGGCACAGGTCTTTATTCTGTGAGGAATACAGAGGAGCTGCTCTGATGCGTCTTCCTGGAGGCAGAACTAGTTGTCAGCCTCTGGGGCTGGGTGCCACTGCTGGCGATGACTCCTTTGGGCTCCAGGAACCCTGTACCCTGTTGGCTTCTAACGGCCCCCATCACTCCACTTTTGTCTTTCAACTTCTAATTCGCAGGCAGCTGTGAAATTACATGACCAAACTCAGTCAATGCGAATCCAAAATTGGGATTGTGTGGGAAGGAGGCTTAGGAGTAATTAGATCTTAAGTTATATCAACCAGTAGCTGCATGTGTCAGAACAAAATATACAGCTGGAGTTGGTCTTTAGCTTTCAGGCTGGCAAAGGTGGTTTGGTGTGGTGGAAGTACATTGAGCTTGGACTCAGAGCTAACCTCTGCACTTACTTGCTGTGGGACCCTCGGCAGCTTCCTTGACTCTTCTAAACCATAATTTCCCCAACATACTATAAAAGGAAGTGAATACCATGTGTCTCACAGGAGTATGAAGATTAAACAAGATGAGGGAAGAAAAGCACCAAGGCTAGGTACCAGGGCAACATAAAAGCCAGCAGATGAAGGAGCTTTTGGGTGGGGAATATAAGGAAAGGCTCCCACTTGGTTTCTAATCTGGTTTTCACTAGTGGGTGATCAAGGTCAAGTAGCTTGACAGCTGCACTCAATTTAAGATCCATATCACTTGTTCCAAGCACTGCTCCTGCAAATGAAATGTGATTGACAAGATTTATTCAAGGGAAGAGTTTCCCTGATAAGATGTGAATTTCATAATAGCCTTTTGTCATAAGTCATTACTTCTATAAGCAGAAACAATGGTTAAGAGAGGACGTCCTGGGCTTAACCTGTGTTGGCAGTTCTAGGGTATGTGTGATTAGGTCACCAAACTTCAAAATTAAAATAATATTGTTAAAAAATTGCAGGCACCAAGCAGCTGTGCCCAGAGAACAGGAAAATTTAGGGAAGCTATTCCTTTTTTTTTTTTTTTTAAAGATTTTATTTTTAAGTAATCTCTATGCCTAGTGTGGAGCTTCAACTCACAATCCCGAGATCAAGAGCTGCATGCTCTACCAACTGAGCCAGCCAGGCGCCCCAGGAAGCTGTTCCTTTTATCCCAGGCTTGTGAACCCCTGCTAAAGCAGGAAATGTGAAGACACCCCTCGTGTTGCTGCTGGGCCAGAGATCTGGTCCCACATTAATTATACAAGCAGCCTGAAGTACATAATATGATCCAGCTGTGGGCAAAGGCCTCCAGGGAGTTGGGAAATAACACTTGCTTTTTTTCTTTAAAAAAAATCTGTCCTTTCAACCATCCCTATAAGGCAGTTTTTTTTTTTTTAATAAATATTTTATTTATTTGAAAGAGACAGAGAGAGAACACGAGCAGGGGAATGACAGAGGAGGTGGGAGAAACAGCCTCCTCTCAGAGCAGAGTCCGCTACAGGGCTCCATCCCAGGACCCTGAGATCATGACCTGAGCTGAAGGCTCAGGTGGCCCACACAGTTTGTTTTAAAATGACTCTTCATCAACAATATGGGATATATTGAAAATACCTGAGATAAGTTATGCTTAGAAGGTACTCCACAAAGGCCCCTTTCCCTTGCAACTTTTATTTTTTGTAAAGAAGATGGTGTTATTCATGATAAGCAAATGGAAACTTAGAGAGATGATGTAACTTGCCTGAGGTCACACAGTAAAGAGGTAGAGTTGGCCATGAACTCAAAGAGCTCTCTTCACTAGCCCCATGCCACCTCTGAAAGTATCCCTACAGCCTTGTTGACTGGAAAATTCTAACTCAAGTTTCACCCATACAATGAGAAAGCTGAAGAGACCTGCCAAGTGTTTGCACCAAGTGGCTATTCTTACAGGAGTATGAAAAGGAGAACACGGCAGGAAGCCAATGAAGGAAAATGAAACAGGCACATAACTTATTTAAACATGGGGAACTGTGGCCAACACAATTCTGTGTAAACCTAACAAACTAATTTCAAGCTAATCCTGATCATTTGTGTGCTAACCCTGAGTTAGGATATCTGGACCTGAAATCCAGGCATGGAAGAAACAAAAGAAACCATTTATCTCAGAGGGATAGGAAACCCTTAACCTTTATTTTGGATTCCTGGCGCCCTTCCCACTTGAGAATCTAATGAAAGGCACGGACTCTTGACCCAGAAAAACACACCAATCTACAAACACCATATTTTATGGGGTCTCCTGAAGACTATCCTAAGATTCCAGGATAAGTGCAATTTTAGAGCATTTAAAGATTTAAAATATTGAATTGGCTTTCTTTGGGTATTAAAAAGGCTCAAAACACATGAAACAATCACATGATACAGCTCACAAGACTTCAAGGGCCATGACTCCTAAGAGGACTTCTCAAATATCTTGACATTTTTGTTTGAGCCTCACAAACAATTCTGAAAACAAGCAGGAAGCACCTTCACTTAGCAGATGTGGAAAATGAGTTTGAGGGACTTAGTAGTGACACTAGTGCTGGAAGGGACCCCAGGGTCTCTGTCCACTCACCCCGGCCTGTGGCTTTGAGAGTTCCTTACATAATGACAACTCCACATTTATATGTGAAGGCTCTCCTGTGCTCTAGAATCATCTATCTTCATAATATCTCTACTGGACCTACTTAATATGTCCCAAATACGAATCTTAAGTATGTAGGCATTATTCCCAATTCCTCTTAAATGAAATTCTCACATCCATTCTGTCTCCAGGGCTGGTTTGGCTCATTTTTCCTAACTAAGTCTCTCTGCTTCCATTTTTGTCTCCTGCCCCACCCTGTAGTCTATTAGTAACAGAGCAGACAGAGGGTCCTATTCATTTTAAGTCACTTCTTTGCTCAAAATCCTCAAGACTTCCAATCACCAGAATAACAAACAGGTCCTACACAATCTGCATCAGCCTAAGTTGCAGACATCACCTCATGTTACTCTCCCTCTGGGATTTAAAAGTTTTCGACATACCATCTTTATGCAGTTCCTGAGATTTCCTTGCTTCAGGGCTTTTATGCTTGCTGTTCTCTTTGTGCCTCCTCTGTTCTTCACTCTTCCTTGGGATCTCCAAGTTCTGGATCCCTGTCTTCATGTTGTTCCTGCCTCAGGGTTTTTGCACTTACTGTTCACTTTGTGCCTACCCTGGTCTTCCCCAGATTCTCAAGTGACCTGTTCCCTCACTGTGGTCACATTTTTGCTTGTGGTCACATCTTTTCAAAGTCTTTTCCTAACTTTCTTCACTCTCTATCCCTTTCCTGTTTTATTTTTCTCAGTATTTAATAGTCCCTGAAATTACATTATGTATTTACTTGTTTGCTTACTCATCTTCCCAGCCAGAATGTAAGCAGCTGCACCGAGGCAGCTTTGTATTTGTCTCATTCACCTCTGTATTACTGGCACCTAAGAAGACCTGGCCTGCAGAAGACTCTCAGTAATTATCTGTTGAATGAAGTGCTCGTCTGGTCCAGAATTCTCTCTTTACTATAAGAATAGGCAGTTTCCAAGAGTTTCCAGAATTCAAATCTCAGCTCTCTTAAGTTGCTGGCCCTGGAAACTATTAGGGGAAAATGACCCATTCTCCAAAAACTGCAATCTTCCCATCAGAAAACTAGGAATAATAAAGAGTATCCTTTGCACAGGACTGCTTTAGGGATTAAATGATATAATGAATTTTAAAATGCTTGACACATAGTAAGTGCTCAACAAAGGATAGCAGTGATTATCATATTATTATAGGATTATTCTCATTTTCAGATGAGACAATTGAGTCCTAGCAAGTAAGGGACTGCCTTGTATCACATGATAACATGGCTAATGAGAGGAGGGGGGTGGGGGCCATAAAACTCTTCTCAGATTACAGAGCAGATGAGAGGAAAAACCTTAATATGTAGAGCTATAGGCTTCTGTCTCTGGGCTTTCTCCTCAGATTTCCTTTTCACTCTTCCTGGACAAACCCTCTAGCCCAACCCAAATATTTTTATTTAAGCCAAAAGGAAGACATCTTAGAAAAAAATCAGCAACAGCACATATTACCAATTCAAGTTTTCACCCTGGGATCTGTTGCAGATGCTGGTTCTCACACCTACCGTGTCAAGAACTACTTACGTAAATCTGTCCCATACTTAAGTCCCACTTTGGGCACCCAGCCCTTGCTTCGGAAGTAATGGTATGCCATGTATGTAGTCCTGAATGTGGGCTGAACTACAGTGAAAGCTTTCCAGAGCTTCATGATTGTTAAGGGCTCCTAATGTTAGTGAAAGGAAAAAAAGGCATTATTATGTATGCATTCGCTCATCATTCAGCCAGTGACCTGACATCCATACTAAGTGTGGAGCCGAAGCAGTAAACATACACAGCACTATGACAGAGGGACTTAACAGAGGATCTAAACCTGTGCTGTCCGGTGTGGCAGCATCAGACACGGGCCAGAAGGGAGATGTGCTTCAGGTGGAAAATACACACTGAATTTCAAAGACTTGGCAGGAAAACAGGAATGATACGTTGAAATAAATAAACTATGTAAATAATATGACTTTTTCTTTTAACCCCTTTCATGTAGCTACCAGAAAATTTAAAATGATACCCATGGTTCCTGAGGCTTATCTATCAGACAGCATGGCTCTGGACAAGGCTGCCCTGCAACAGTAACATCTGAGATGAGGAGGAAGTAGCCAAGTGGAAGGGGGTGGTGGAGGGAACTGGAAGCCGTGGGGTGAGGCAGAGAAACGAGTGCATGCCAGGGTGCTCAAGTGTGACAAGTCCACCAAAGTCAGAGGGCAGTGCGTTTCAAACATTTCACAGACCCAAGAGAGTAGCTACTGTATGGCAGGTCACATTCAGAAAAACCAAAACATAATTTTGTAAAAGCTTAAAAAAAAAAAAAGCCCCATTTTAGTCTTTGAAACTGGAAAATTTATCTCATGGCACAAATGAATAGTCCAACTCCATATGTTTCTAATGGAGGAAGTGAAGAGATTGACAGTGGCCTGGTTCAGAGAACATTCGATTCGATTCTCTGGTTGGGTTAGGGCTCAGTCAATGAGACTTGCTCAGTTTGTCGCAGCCCAAGATTTTAATCCATAAATATGAGCTAGAGGTTTGTTTGTTTCTTTCTTCTTTTTTTTTGGTTGTTCCTAAAATAGAAACTCCATACATATGTCGCCTTTAAATCCCAAACTAAGGTAACACTCTCCGCCCCTGTAATAAGCAACAGTCTTGTGGGAAAGGCCAAACTTCCACTTTGGAGAGCCCATCATGTTTCAGAGGCTCAGGAGTCTAGGTGGCAGTGAAATATTCTGATGAATTTCAGCTAAGGCCTAAGAGAAGAGACAAGGTGAGCTAAGAATGGCTATCATCTGGGAAAATGAGTCATCCATCAGCCGACAGCTATTTTCAAACCAATGGAATACTCATGAAAATAATTTATATAATTAGAATTTGATGAATGATAAAATTATGTACTCACAAGAACAGAACAAAATATCCTTTCTCTGTTCTATTTATTGTTCTGCTTAACTTTTTCTTTTTAATTTCATTTCAGTTATTTTGAATAGGTATTATATTCACATGATCCAAGTTCACAAAGCATAAAAATGTACAGTGAAGTTTCCCCTTCCACTTGTGTGCCCAGCTCCCTTGATGCCTCTACGAGAAGGTAACCAATGATATTGGCTTCTTGTGGGACTTTGTTCTAAGGGCAGCAGGCTACAGTACAGAATCACAGGCTTTGGAGATACCCTGACACCAGACTAGCTGTGTGACCTCGGGTGAGTTACTTACTTCCCCTGAGCCTCAGTTACCTTAACTGTAAAATTCTTACCAGGCAGAGTTAAGGTTTAGAAGTATTGCTTGTAAGGTACCCAATCACAACCTTTACCAAAGTAGGTGCTGAACATGGCAGTTTTAATTTTTAGTACTGTCCTAACACAGATTTCCTGATCATTCTCTAAGATACTACTCTTCTCCTAGTCTCCGGGAATGAAATTCAATCTGAAAGAGTCAAAGCTGGCTTCTGCCTTAATGATCCCAATTAGGGGGCACCTGGGTGGCTTAGTTGTTTAAGTGTCATGACTTGATTTTGGCTCAGGTCACAATCTCAGGGTCATGAGATTGAGCCCTGCATCAGGCTCTGCACTCAGAAAGGAGTCTGCTTGGATTCTCTCTGCCTTTCCTTTTCCCCTTCCCCCACTCGTGCATGCTCGCTCTCATAAATAAATAAACAAATAAAAAAACAAATAAATAAAGATTTTACCAAAAAAAGGCCTAAATTTTGGGATCTTACCCAAAGCCTAAACCCAGAGAAAAAATTCAATTCAGTTTTATTCAGTGAAAGTAGGTGCATCTGTATTACAGTAATAGGAAAATTACTACAACCTGCTTTTAATACCAGGAAACTTTTAAGTGGATTATATCTAAATATAACATCTTACCTTCTCATAATAAATACTCAGACATCCTAGAGCATAGACCAGGAAAAAGGCCTAAAAACAGAGCAAGCAGAAATGTGCATTAGAAACTGTCTCACGTTCTTGAGAAGTTATTTTACATATTGATTTCTTTTTGCCTTAAGTACAAATTAAATCATCTTCAAAATGGTCACATATTTTTAATGTAAATGGTTCATGCAAATTTCAAGGATTAGAAAAAATCTAAGAAAATATGAAAGTCACAAATTGGTTAAAAATCAGTAAAAAACAAAGCATTTGTACGATATTTTCCATGTATTTTCCTCCTTAAAAACCATCTGCCTAAACTGAAAAATGATTAAACAGCTGTAATAGAAAGCTTACCTCATTAGATTTTCCTCTGTAAAATTAAATAATCTATTAAACTGAGAAAAAAAACTTACAGAAAGAAATATACAGAAATCTGCAAAAAAGTAGGCCTTGCAGATATGGCTTGTAAAACAGGAGTTTCTCAGTCACCCTTGCTGTAAAGTGACTTCCTATTAAGTAATCCCTATCTTCCCATGAACTTCACCACACAGTAATGTGTTTTACTTGCATGGTGGAAGCAGGAGGAAAAGCAAGGAAAGTCAGCTATAGTTGAGTAAAATGAAAATAAAAATAGCTTTTCCCTCCAAAAAGTTTATTTATTTAGTAATCTCTACACCCACTGTGAGGTTCGAATTCCTGACCCTGAGATCAAGAGTCACATACTCTACCAACTGAGCAAGCCAGGTGCCCCAACTGCTGTCTGATAAAAGACAGACAATGCTAAACATTGATACCACTAAACAGACCCTGTTCTTCATTCTACTTGTAGAGGGGGACAGGGTTGTTTACACCTGACTAGACTTATGCGAGATTGGTGTGCCAGTGGCTAAACCATGGCTATTAGTAAAACTGGAGTACTTACTTTATAAATAGGACAAAAGATTATAACCAAATGAAAAACATTCTGCTGCTCCTGCCGCCTGGCACAGATGAGGTGACAGAGATGTAGTCCCCTGTTCTGCACTTGCACGTTTCTGTTCAACAGCACGGTACTGACAAACAGTGCTTAGCTTGCACTGTTTACTTAGCTTGCTTCCTCACTGCCCCAGCACACATAGGAACAAACAACAAGAGGATTTAAGAGAGCACAGGCTATGGAGCTGTAGGTGGTTTCAAGCAGCGACAAGGTTCACTAAGGAAACATTCTCATGATCCCCAGGAATTGCCTGAATCCACCCACTGTCACTTTCTCCTGGCTAGCTGATGGCACTTCTCTTCACAGGAGCAGTTCTCAAAGAAAGGTCGGGATCCTGGAGTTCCCAACACTCTTTCAGAAGATCTCCAGGTTAAAACTACTTTGTGATAATAACACATTATTTGCCTTGTTCCTGCTCATTCTCTCGAGGTTTGAAGACATGTGGTATCACAACAGAATGAATACAGAAGTAGATGTGGGCAGCAAGCTGACTTCTATAAAGCCAGACCTTAAAGTGACTGGTAGAAATGAAAAACAGTGCCATTCTTCTCACTGAATTTATTCTGTTTTGAAAGAATATAGTTAGTTTTCATAAAATTTTATTTATGTTAAGGTATAATGGAATTCACGTCATTATCTTAAAATGAATTAACGAACAAATATTTAAAATTTTGTTTTAATTTACAATTTGGTAAACAGTGACAGATATACTCCACATAAAGATTTCCTTGGGGTCTTTAATCATTCTTAAGAGAGTAAAGTGGTTCAAGAACTACAATTTCAGGGGATCCCTGGGTGGCGCAGCGGTTTGGCGCCTGCCTTTGGCCCAGGGCGCGATCCTGGAGACCTGGGATCGAATCCCACATCGGGCTCCCGGTGCATGGAGCCTGCTTCTCCCTCTGCCTGTGTCTCTGCCTCTCTCTCTCTCTCTGTGACTATCATAAATAAATAAATAAAAATTAAAAAAAAAAAAAAAGAACTACAATTTCAGTTTCACTCAGATCTAATCCTAGAGTTTCTCTGAAGATACAGGTGGTCACCTGAAGGTCCCGCTTCTCTGGGTCCCAGCCACCACTCCCTGCCTGGACTTCTCGAAAGCTTTTCTGCTCCATGCATTCTCCAGAGCAGCCAGAGCCATCTTTTTCACATGTGAAGGTCATGTGGCTCCCATGACTAAAACCCTCCAAAAGGCTTTACTACACTTTGCTTCCTACCACCTCCCACTCCGTGAGATCTGACCACCACTCTTGCTGGCCATGTTGGCTCCATGTCTGCTCCTGAACACACGAAGCTCATTCATCTGCCTTCACCCTTGTAATGGCTATGCCCGTATCTGGCAAGGTCTTCCCTTCTACCCTCTTAAAGCAACCCCCAACCCAATCATCTTCTTTAGAACAGTTTTGTCTGAAAAGATCTTTCTTACATGTGTCTCTCCAACTCAAATGTAAACTCTGTGAGAGCAGACACTCTGCCTGCAGTTTTGCTGGCCTGGGAGGGGATCCAGCACATGGTGATTGCTCAGTGCTTGTGCCGAATCAACCCTGAGTTTAGGAAACTGCCAGAGTCACTGAGAGCAGGTTTCTGCCGGTCTGGCTCTCCAGCTCCTTTCTCCTCACGTGGATGCTGTATGCCCCCATGGTCCCTTTTAGCTACTGGTAACCGCTTTCCCAGGTGCCCTACAATCTTATTTTGCTTTTGTCTTCCTGTGGCACACTACTTATTAATGCAGAGTATCATTGTTTCTTGGATGCACACAGTGGCCAGAAGGTGCCACGGAGGAGGAAAACTTGGGTCCTCAAGGAGCCAAGTGATTCCCCTGTCGGCTTTCCCAGCTGTCACTTCTTGGTTCAGAATGGTGCGACAGTGAGAATTCTGGGATGTGGTAGAGCTGGGCTGAAATCTTCACTAACAGGCCCGTAGAAGTGTCACTTAAGCTCTCCTACCTCATCTACAAAATGAGGATGAAAATGCCTTATTAAAGATTTAATGGGATTAAATCTCATAAAAAATTTAAAGGCTATGTGAAGCACCTAACTGCTCCATTCATTTTAGTTTTCCCTCCTTTTTAAAAAATCATTTAGATATTATAGCCTGGAAAAGTTCAATCCTCTCCTTGCCAAACAAAAGACTCCTTCCTGTTGTCTGTTAGAATTTAAGTTCTTTAGAAACTTTCCATTATCAGTAAATAAATGCTTCTCTAAAAACTGATGAAACCAATGCCTCATTAATATATATTGGCCTAAAATAAATGCCTTTTATGAATGCACACAAACTGCTCTTTATTACAGATGGAATGGATCTTAACTGAGTTGGCTGTATTTAGAATTAAATCATCAGAAGACTGGGGAAGTCTGGGAAGGTGGGTGATTATGTCCCTTGAGATCTCATTAGTAAGTTTTAATATCAAAGCAAAAAAGAGGGAAGAGTTTAATGATGGTTTTAATGTCATGTCACTAAATCTAGTTTCGTCCCAAAGCATTATAATGGAAAAACAGTTCTCGGTAACAGATCTCTAAGTCAACTGTGGTTATTATCATTCCCAAGCACCCGAGAGAACTGCTCTGAATCACCACAGAAGGGCCGTCCATGTTCCTGATGGACATTTATGGAAAAACACTAAACTGTACAACTGGTACACCAAACATGGGTGATTGAGAGGACATCTGCCAAAACAGACCTGAGAGGCAGAGGTAGGTTTAATCACACACTCCCTGAAAACTGCAACACCTCTCTGGAATAACCTCAAGAACAAGCAGCTTCCAAGAATGCAGAGCAATCTCACCTACCTCCCATTACTCTTGTCTTTCTTCAGGGAGTGTTTGGGAGAGAGCAGCAGATAGCAGCACCTTTTCTTGTTGGTAAAAAGCATCACATGGAACACAACTGGTCACCTACTGTAACAGTAAGGCTGACACCCAATGCTAGCTCTCTGCCCATGGCTGCTGCCTCCCAGAGTTGAGACAATGGCCAGCTCCTCCTGGCGTCAGCCCTCTAGCCTGCCCTCCTACTGGTGTAGCTCCGGCACCTGCCCTTCCCTGACACAGCTTCCTGCAGTGCCGCAGTGCCTCCATGACCAGGTCAGACCCCTGGTAGATACCAGTAGACATGCCTTCCATGATCTAGTCCTCCTGTGTTGCCATCCAGGACCGACCTACATGAAAGATCCTATGCTGCCCAGGGATAGCCAACTGGCTATCTCCTATTTATCTTTGACCATTCACAGATATCACCGACTCTGTAGTCTTTTCTGTTAGCTTGCATCCCTTTGGACCACCCACCCCAACAGTTTCTGTGCAAATCCCACATCTTGTATGCATCCATTTAATAAATATTATTTGTTAAGCACCTGATAGATGTCAGGCATTGGGTACAAGGATACTAGAGGAGAATACTGGCACAATCCACAGACTGCATTGTATGTAATTATTTCTGGGCTATCTTTAGGACCGGAGCCATATTATGTTTATTTCGGTATCGTTAGTACCTAGCCCAGTGCCAGGCACATAGTAAGTACCCAGGGAACACTGGTGTAAATACTGATTGCAAAAGAAAAGGTTCCCATTGGCTACTAAATAGCTTTTACAAGAAATTTAATAATGATGATAATGACAAGAAGAGCAGGCACTAACACTTATTGAACATTTACTATACATCAGGCACTGTGCTGAGCCCATTACACATAAGTTCCCAGAACATCTTTGAGCAAGGTATGACATAACTCTCATTTACAGAGAAGAAATCAAGGGTTGGAGAGCCCAAGCACCTAGAGAATGGGTATCTACCGTGCTGTCCAGCATAACTTCCTGTGATGTCAGTGCTCTATACCTGTGCTGTCCAGTACAGCCACCACTGTTCATATGCGGCTGCTGAGTTTGAAATGCAGCTGCTACAACTGAGAAACAGAATTTTGAATTTTGCTCAATTGTATTTTAAATTAAATAGTCACATGTGGCTACCGGCTACTATATTTGATGACAGATTCAGCTGTCTCATTTGTAAAATGAGGTAAAGTAAATAATTCCAGACATCCTTTCCTAGTTCAACAGTCTGTTCTTTGTACATGTGGCCTCATGGCAAGGAAGGAGGTATAGGCAAGGAAATCCAGAGACACTACTTTTCTGTGGACACGTCCAAAATATTGCCAATGTGGATGCAGTCAACAAGCACTTCCTGGGACCCACATGTACACTGGGAATGGTGCTAAACACTGCAGGAGCTACCCATGACAGGCAGGAGCACCTCTGGAGAAGGAGCATGAGGAAGGCGTGCGATTCTCAAGGGCAGAAAGGACATTTCTGTGGATCATATAAACATAAGCAAAGGAGGAGGGGCTAACACATGAACACGGGACAGAAGAACTCTAAATCAGAGGGAAAATTTATGATGCAGTTTTAGAAAGTCGCTTTTAGCCAACTTTTGGGAATGCTGCTGTTGCACTGAGAGAACATGTATGAGTAATTTGGCAGAAGGAAATATCTGGAATCCACTTATGTAATTAGCAGTCATGACATGACTTGAAGCATCATCATAGCTTTAAAAGCTGGTGACAGGGAGCCCTGGTGGCTCAGTGGTTTAGCGCCACCTTCAGCCCAGGCCTGATCCTGGAGACCTGGGATCGAGTCCCACGTCAGGCTTCCTGCATGAAGCCTGCTTCTCCCTCTGCCTGTGTCTCTGCCTCTCTGTGTGTGTGTGTCTCATGAATAAATAGATAAAATATTAAAAAAAAAAGAAAAAAAAAGAAAAGAAAAGCTGGTGACATCCATGAATATACTAAAAACCATGAACTATATACTTTAAATGGGTGAGTGGTATGGTATATAAACCATGATACAGGAAGGCTCCCCCTAAAATCTTAGGCTTGATGAAATGAAGGCTAAGAAGTGTAATTTAGGCAGGCCTGCTTTGGAAGTTGCCTATGGTCATTTCAATACCAATTTGTAATGTTCAGTTACTAAATACTCACTTACTGAAATACATAGAGAACTCATTTACAACTGGACCGCCTTAGAGGTTGCCTGGGCCCTGAGATCACAGGCTGAGAAGGTAACATGCAGGAAACATACCTCTTCTAGGCTGAGTTGCAAATACTCCAAGATCCTATATGGATTTCTTCTGCATACTAATCTCTTTTTGGGTGCCAACTGCAAAGAAATAAAACACATACAGAACCAATGGAAGCGCTACACATTACACAGAACAGACTGCATTTTAAAACACACATTTTTCTTATAAATTTCCCAGATTCACATTTATTGGATTAATACTGTTAAAAACATATTTTTTTTATAATTATGTGGAAACAAGTTTTAGTTTCTACTATCAACATTTTATTTACTTTCTGTTCCCCATGAATTTTTCCCCACAGTTGTGATCCTTTTGTTGGTGGAATTTATATACTTCTTTTCACCCTCTTGCATCTAACAAGTGTGGGCCTAGGTTCTTCATTAGGGCTTCATAAACCCCAATCTAAAGGCTAGACATTATTTCTTCAAACTCATGTTTCACATACTACTTGACCATTAGATTTTCTCATTTTTAGCTATTGCAGATAATTCTAGGGCAACTGTCTCTGACTGAACATCCCTCAGTGGAGTGGCTCCTGATCCTGCCTGTGTTCCCGTGCTGACTTTCATATTGGAGACCTTCCCACTACAGCTCTATTTAAGACTATGTGCAATTACCACAGCACTTCTTTTTCTCCCACCCAAGGGAAAGAATATTATTTCTTAAATATTTTATTTATTTGAGAGAAGGGGGGGGCACACACATGTATGCATAACCAGGGAACCTGATTGTGAGGCTCAATCCCAGGACCCTGAGATCGTGACCTGAGGCAAAGGCGGATGCTTAAGTGACTGAATCACCCAGATGCTGCGGGAAAGAATACCATTGTACCTGCTTTAATTTACACATTTTTTAAAAGTTAAGTTATTCACAAACTTAGAGGTTTTAGTAGAAATAGACCTCACAACTATGGAGCTGGGAGCCAGCATCCACTGGTTCCCTCTGAGGGTCTCACCACCTCTCACATACCCTGGGCACTTAATATGAGCCTGTTACCAGTTCTGAGTAAGGAACATCCTGGTTAGGTCACATCTGCTAGGGGCCAGAAACAGATGGCTCTGGAGGAAGCGACTAATTTTCTTCAGTTTATCCTTGAACGATGCGAGGATCAGGGGCACCACAGAAAATCTGTGTATAACTTTTGACTCCCCCAAAACTTTACTAATAAGCCTACTGTTGACCAGAAGCCTTACCAATAATAGAAACAGCTAATTATCACATATTTTATATAAGTATTAAATGCCATATTCTTATAATAAAGCTAGAGAAAAAATACTAAGAAAATCATACGGCAGAGAAAACACATTTACTAGTGTTACAAATAGTATTGTACTATTTGTTAAAAAAAAAAAAAAGACAAATCCATGTATAAGTGGACCCATTCAGTTTGAACTCATGTTGTTCAAGGGTTGGCTATACTTACTTCTTCATTTGGGGCACATTCCTGCTCGCTCACATCATACACATCTTCCTCCACCAGCACGTACTCATCACCAGGCCCTCTCTTTCTGGCACAGGGATCTGCTTGCTGGCTCCCGTCCCCAGGCTGAGTGTCCCCAGGTGTGGGGAGGAGACCATCATCTTTGCCACAGTGAATTTGAGGCAGAGGGCAGTGTTGCAGTGTGGCACCCTCTACCACAGATTCATCCAGGCCATCTGGAGTGAGTGGGTCAGGCCCAGAGCCCTGCTGCTGGCAGTCTGATGGCTTGCTGGGACCCTCCATGCCAACAGACTTACCCGAGTCCCCATTCATCATGGAAAGTTCCTCTCTATCTGTGGTACCTTCCATTATGGAAACTGTTCCAGAGTTCAGTTCGTCATGCCGCTGACCTTCTTCATTCCTTTTTATACCAGAATGCTCAAGTGGTTTTGTGTAATCCTGGAGGATTTTACGCACTGTACTCTCATCCTGCCCCTGTCTTTGCATGAGCTTTGTGGCCCATTCTACACTATGCTGATACCTGCAAAATGAAAATACTGTCAGCAACACTTGACTTTTAATATTCAAAAGAAAACAGAGCTTGCAGAAAAGATGGGTAGGTAGTATGCCAAAATGTTTATAGCAGTTTTTCTCAGTAGTGGGCTATATGTATATGTTTTTGTTATACTTTTTTGTGTTTTCTGACTGTTCTACAATAAGCATGTTTGTTACTTTTGTGTTTGTTATTAGAGCTTCACTTAACCTTAATTTGAAAAAAAACAAAACAAAACTTTGACCCTGGTTTGACAAAGTACAAATATTTATATAATTTAAAACAGGTGGGCCAAATGATTTAGGTAAACACAAAGATAATATGGCCATCCTTTGTCAGGACTTCTTTTACAGTATTCTCAATTTTGGATATCACATTTTCAGAAAAATATCCCATTCATAACATAAAGAGCCTTTGTTCAGTATTGGAATGAAAAATGAGAATTGCAGTCAATATTTTTCACAGTAACTACTAAGGTCTCCACTGCATATGGCAAGAAATGATTATGTGCTATAATATTGCCAAGCATCCGAGCAGAAAGGGCCTTTTCTCATAATAATTTTCAAAATATAGTTTGATGAGGAATATTTGCTTTGCTGTTCAAATACAAAGGCATGACTTCTCAAGTTACAAAAAGTCACAAGACAATAGATGTCACCATGTGATAATGCCACTGGAACGCGACTCCACGCAGTGTCAGGCTACCATACTGGAAATCTCTTCAGTGCAAGAGCTAAAGGCAATGTGAAACTCAAGCACTTTTTGCCTCTACCTACAGCTGTTAGCTTTGACAGCATGGTTTGTAGGAAGACAGATAATTTTACTCCTCATCTTGAGTATTTTGCTTTGTATGTGGGTGACTGAATATGTCATAGTTTATAAACTGCAACATCTCACATGCAATTGAATGAGGCGGCTGGCCTCTGCTATATTTAAGATTTGTGGTTGCTTAACCCTGATTCCTCAGAAGAATCTCCAAGCTGGCCACACCCTGTCTATCCTACATAAGGATGAGCACACCTTCCTATATATTTGGAATTGTATCTTAGATTTAAAGAGTAAAACCTAGCAAGGCTACTCTCACACCTGACTATGCATGAATGTGTATTGCACATTTCAGGTTCAGCCTGACTCTGTCACTTGTGATGTGACAAAGCCAATGATTTAACTTCTTTGTGCTTTCCCCCAACCATAAGATGAGTACATTAAGATTATTACTGCACGAAGGGGTTATTACCTCAATAATCACAATAAAAAATGGAGCTGCTCAGAATGGCAGGGTGTCTCCTTGCCTGTATGAAAAGTATGGCCACTGTTGCATACATTTAAAAGAACTTTCATTTGAGGGTGACTGGGTGGCTCAGGGGTTGAGCATCTGCCTTTGGTTCAGGTTGTGATCCTGGGGTCCTAGGATCAAGTCCCGCATCAGGTTCCCCGCAAGGAGCCTGCTTCTCCCTCTGCCTATGTCTCTGCCTCTCTGTGTCTCTCATGAATAAATAAAATCTTAAAAAGAAAAAAAGAACTTTTATTTGAGAGATTGAAAAACAATCTTTGCTCTTCATACCACCTACAGCACTGGTTTTCTAGGCTTCATGGATCTATGAATCTCCTTTATTTGAACACAAATTTTTATGTCAATATATACCTTTCCAGAGAAGGGATCCACAACTTTCATCAAATTCCTTGACTCGGGATGCCTGGGTGGCTCAGCGGTTTGGCGCCTGCCTTCAGCCCAGGGCATGATCCTGGAGTCCCAGGATTGAGTACCGTATCGGGCTCCCTGCATAGAGCCTGCTTCTCCCTCTGCCTGTGTCTCTGCCTCTCTCTCTGTGTCTTTCATGAATAAATAAAACCTTTAAAAAAAAATTCCTTGACTCAAAATATGTGAAAGAACCACTGAATGAAAGGTTCAACAATTATCCCTTTAAGCAAAAGATCTGAGAGAGAGAAAGAGCCCACACAGGCTACTGCTTTACTCTGCAACAGGGCAGTCAAGGCAGATAGGAGTTCAAACTCTCATTTCACCAGGTTATTGTATTAGCTACACAACCCTTGTTAAGGCTCAGTTCCTCATCTGTAAACCAGGAGTAACCATACTAACTTCATGGAGTTGTTATAAGGATTAAAGGAGACAAGACGTGGACAATGCTCAGCACATAGAAAGTACTCGATAAATATTTGTCACTTATATGATTATGGGCTTTTTAGGTGGAGACTTAAAAGATCATTTTGACTTATACATATTAAAGAATACAAATAACATTTTTAATGAATGGAAATGTACACTTTAATTAACTGCTCTTCGAGAGCGGGGGCAGCCTTGTGGGGATGAGTGCTGCACCAGATCTGGGTTCTGGGGTTGGCTTTTCTGTGAGATTCTGAGCTAAATCACTTAGCATCACCATCTCTTTTTGCTCTTCTGCAAGAGGCCAGATGTTCATTTTATGGAAGCTCAAATCATGGCTGCAAAAGCATGTGAAGAAAGCCTCTGAGCAGGACTCATAATGAAAACAGCCAGATACACAAATGACAGACATATGGCATATGAGTCACAGAGCAGGTGTCTTCTCATTGGCTGGCAATGCCTTAAAAGGCCAAGTCCTGCTGCGATTAACCACAGACACTGCTGGAGAAGCAGCAGGAAGAGAAAAGTGAAAAGTAAAAGTCAGGAAACATAAGGCAGAGAGTGGCAGGAGGAAAAGGTGGTGGCTATGATTAGAAGCAGCAGTGAGACTGGTGAAAAGACGACCCACTTCAGGGCCACCAGATTACAGAACGGTGTACCATCTGAATACGCCTGTTTCTTCTGTTTCTATGCCCCTGAACATACCTCCTCCACTTGCATGGTGAACACCTTTCTCTGTCACCTACTGATTAATGCCTATTTATCATTGGAAACTCACAGCAAAAACAGTTTTGGGTCAGTTGGCTTTGGTCCAAGTACTGCCCTTGTGCAAGTTACATAACCTCTCGGGCTGCATTTCCTCACCTGTCAACTAACAGGACCCACCTTTAGGGGTGAGATGAGGACTTTAGGAGATAATCCTGTTATTAGTACAGGACCTTGTACATGGGATATGTCCAATAAATGCCAGCATATACAACCATGTTACTGTTCTCACTATGTGTCAATTCCTTGGAGGCTCTGGAGCTGAACTGCCTGGTCTGAGAGGAAATAATTTTGGACAAGCCACTTCTAGGTTCCTCATGTATGAGACAGAAATGACTACACCTACCTCAAAGGGTTCTTGAGAAGATGAACTGAGATGATCAGGTAAAGAACCTAGACTAGTAACTAGCACTGTTGGACCAACCAGTACTGTTGGCTATGATGATGATGATATCAGCAATATCTCACTATAATATTTATTACCAAAGAGTGCAATTATTTACACCTCTTCCTCCTCCATTAGACTGTAAATCCCTCGAGAAAAGAGATGAAATCTTTTCCTCTTCTTGTATCTGCAGCATGTACCCAATGCTTGACACAGGCACCTGCAGTAGATGTTGGCTGAATAAAGGACTACAAATAGGAGGGGAGACCACCTCCCTCATGGGTGGCCCTTCAAGGACACAACCTACATGCATCACCTAGGGCGTCACTTGAAGGTCCTGATGCTCACCCCCAGAAAATATTACATGGAAATTTCTCATCATCTAAGGACAACTACTGTTGGAAAAAGGCCAATCAGAGTGAATTCACTTAAGAAAGGGATCAGAGTTTCAGAGCGAATAGTAGAGAAATAATCATAACATGTACTTAAGCTGGAGAATTAACCTGAAAAATGAGCCCACTTCTTTCAACATTTAACAATTTAGATCGTGACTGCAATTATTATGGCCAAGTAATTAATCAAGTATTGACTAGGGGGGCATAATTTTCTGACAGAACTGTCAGGTATGGTTACATCCTAACCCCTGGCACCTTTGAATGTAAACTTCTCTGGAAACAGGGTCTTTGTAGATGTAACTAAATTAAGATGAAATCATACTGATTTGTTTCCTTGTTGGAAGAAGAGGGAAATGTGGACAGAGGCACACAGGTATGCACAAGGGGGACCTCCATGTGATGACAGGAAGAGCCAGGAAAGATGCAGCTACAAGCCAAGGAAGGCCAAAGATTGTTGGCTACCACCAGAAGCTCAGACAAGACAGGGAAGATGGAAGGATCCTCTCCTAGAACCTTCTGAGGGAGCACTGCCCTGCTGACACCTTGATTTTGGACTTCTAGTCTCCAGAAGTATGAGAATAAATTTCTGCTTTTTAAAGCTATGGTATCCTTGGGGAACTAATAACAAAGATCAATAAAATGCTTGCAATATTATTACTGTAGAACTTACAAAGGGATAGCCGCAAGCAGGTGATAATCTTCCCCTATCCAGAACCTCACATACTCAAGACTGGCTTGACATCAAGTCATGTCCACTGCCAGCTGGATCAGGGTTCAGTTCTGAGGGGCAGGCTTCTGTGGTTTCTGAGTCCTGGTGTAGACTGCAGCTTTACTTCAGTTCCTCCTGTGATGTGGGCTTAGCAGGTCCCCCCCACACCCCCACATCCAGCCTGCAGGTATAGCCAGAGCAGCCACTGAGATCTCCCTGGTGTCACTGCCCCTGGCCACTTCTCTGGCCACGGGAGCAAAGAGGAGCTGTCAGATTCTGCCAGTATGTGCTAGAAACAAGATGAAAAACCATGTGGGCTTCAATATTTTTAGAAGGGTTAGAGAAGAGTTGCAACTTGAGCTGCCCCTCAGGACAAGGAGGATTTTATTTATTTATTTAAAAGATTTAAATTATTTATTCATGAGAGACACACAGAAAGAGGCAGAGACACAGGCAGAGGGAGAAGCAGGCTCCATGCAGGGAGCCCGACGTGGGACTCGATCCTGGGTCTCCAGGATAATGCCCTGGGCTGAAGGCAGATGCTCAACCACTGAGCCACCCAGGTGTCCCGACAATGAGGATTTAAATGCATGAATGTTTAGTCCACAAAATCCTACCAAGGGACTGCTAAGTGTTGGGGCTGCAGAGAAGAATCAGGCATGGTCTCTGCTCTCCAGGAACTGACAATCTAGTATGATGGGCGGCACAGTGAGGGGCGCCAAGGCAGACTGTGTGGGAACCAGAAGAACGACCCCAACCAAGGGAGGGTAATGGTGATGAGAAAACCTCCAGGAGAGTGACATGTAAGCTGGATCGTGGGATGGGCAGCAACAGCCAGGCAGTGTGTGTGCTTCAGGAGAGAGGGAGAAAAGTTCTGGGAAATAGGAAGAGTGCAAAGAAAGGAAGGAGTTGTGACTGTATGAGTGGATGAGGAAGAGCCTCTGCGAAAGCCTTTCTCTCACCCTTCAAGTGTAGAGGGAGGAAAGAAGACCGGGCAGAGGCCAGTTTTAGATCTATGCATAAGCACTTTAGCACTTAAAGACATACACATTACAGGGTAATTGTTTGTATTTTGGAAGGAATTCAAGTGGCAAAGGATTTGACCTAGGATTATTTAAAAAATAAACAGTACATTTTAAATGATTTGATCCACATAAAATTCAGATATAATTTTCAAGGACAAATCTACCATCAAAAAAAAAAAAAGGTGTGCGTTATCACATTGGAAAAGGTTATCTACAAACAGATCTGATTTAAGCCGTAATTAAGCCAAGGTCACCATGACTTACTTTGTTGACGTGATTATAGGCATGTCTGTCTTCATATCTGTAACAATAAAGAAGTTCTGTTCAGACAAATTTTCCTTAAAGGGAAAAAACCCACTGAAAATCCAGAAAAGACAAAGAAATTTCAAGAATCACAAAATCACATATCTAGAAGGCTGACTGATCCTGCCCAACTAGCAAGGGCGTGCTTTATATGCCATTACTTCACGAACCTACCCCCTGAACCCATCGGAAGGCAATGCTGACTGATCTCAGTGCTCTTGCTATGCCCAGATGTGACCCTGAAACCGTTCTCAATCTAACACTGTAGCATGGCAGCAATGGCATGCAAGAGGAAACCCCTCTGCCACCTCTGAATGTATATGCCCTCATTTTTCAGATGAGAATGTTGAGGCATTTTATCCCCATTTTTCCGTGCTCCATAAGGTATCTTTTTTTTTTTTTTTTAAGATTTTATTTATTTATTTATTCATGAGAGACACACACAGAGAGGCAGAGACATAGGCAGAGGGAGAAGCAGACTCCCTGGAGAGCCCAATGTGGGACTCGATCCCAGGACTCTGGGGTCACGACCTGAGCCACCCAGGTGTCCCTTCATAAGACATCGTTAGTGAAAGCACCCCACATGTACCCACAATTTCATGGCAGTGTTGGTTCTGGGTGTGGACCTGGGAGGTCTAAGCATCTGGCTGGTTGAACCTTTCCACCTACAATGTTATTTATTTACTGATCATTTGATGGTGTAGGTTCATCCTCTCTGACTCTGCCTTTGGGCAACTCATTTCTCCTTACCCAAACTCAGCTTTCTTCACAGCACATTAAAGGCTTAGAATAGATGATCATCAGCTTTAAAAACCCTAAAAGTTCAAAGATTTCTACCTCCTCAGGAATTTGTCAGTTTTCTCGGTCATGACCTCCCTCCCTCTGGTAATTTAACAAAAATGATAATTTAGCGAGTTTTACTGACAGCCGTCCTTGTGCCAAGCACTGGATACAGAAGTAATAAAGTAAATCCCATCTTCTAGAGATATTCAGTCTAGTTGGGCAGATAGATCAGAAATGACTGATTCTAACCCAAGCTGATATATGACCAAGTAAAGGGTTATAAAAGGACTAGCTAGCTTTGCCTGAAAGGCTTAGTAAAAAACATCATGGAAGAGGAGAAGTTGAGCAGGGCTCTGAAGAATGAATGAGTTCACCAGGCAGACCAGGGGAAAACAGGCAGGGGAAGCCATGGAGAGGCTGAGAGAGAGTAAATCCATGGCAGGTTCATGGAATGGCAAGCAGCCCAAGGTGGCTATAGTGCCAATAAGTAGAAGAAAGTGGATAGAGAAGGTGGAAGATGAGGCTGAAGCCAGAATTTTGAAGAACATCCTAAAATGGACATTTGAGATTTACTTCTTCAGGGCAGTCCACAAGTTAAATTTCTATTTCCTTGGCATAAATTCATTTCCTTCAAATTTGTTATTCTCCAAAATTTAGTTACTATACAGATAAGGAAAAGATTCTCAATTGTTAAGATCAATATACTATTTGAAATCTTTCTGTTTCTGACCAAATATTAGTAACTGATAAAGCTGGTGGTGGGGGTCAGCATGCTATTTTTTTTCCACTCTTTTTGAAACACGCATTACAAAAAAATTTTCAGACGTACAAAAGTAAAGAGAATAGTATAATAAATTCCCATGTTGCCATCCCTCAACTTTAACAACTCATGGCCAATCTTGCTTTCTCTGTTCTTCTGCTCACTCCCCTCGTCCCCAGATGATTTTGAAAAAGATCCCTCACATTCTATCACAGCATCGCTAAGTAGTTCATTATGTATTTCTTTAAAGACTCTTCTTTAAAAATATAAAAAACAGTTGTCTAAAAGATGGGGCGGGGGAGTGCCTGGTTGGCTTAGTTGGTAGAGCATGCAACTCTTCATCTTGGGCTTGTGAGTTTAAGTTTCACATTGGACATAGAGCTTACCTAAAAAAAAATTATTAACCCCCCCCCCAAAAAAAAGAAATTGTGATACCCTTATCACTTTTAAAAATTAATTCCTTAGCCTCATCCAAACCTACGCATTGTCTGAATTTTTTTCTTTTTTGGAAAGTCTGACTCAAAATCTATATAAGGCTCTTATATTACAACTGATTGATACATCTGAAGTTGATTCTAATATTTGTTTCCCCACCATGATTTTCTTCCCTGTAATTCATTTATTGAAGCAATGGGTTTCTGTCCTATACAACTGCCTCCTGGTCTGCCCTCAGAACTGCTTGTGGATGGTCCAAGGGCTTGTACCAAGTAATGTCTCACTCTATGTTACTCTACGAGTCTCACCTAGCACACTGCTTGGTTCAGCTCACCTTGTTTTCACAGCCATATTTTCATGGAGAAGAAAGCCAGAGATAAATAGCTAAGAAGTATGGGATCTATTTCCATTCTGGTGCAAAGGACTTATCTTGTGACACATCATTACCTTTAAGCAGCACTGGCTTAATACGTTCTTTGACCTTGTTTCCTGTAAATTGGGCAACTATAGGCTTGATCAGATTCAGGCTCAATATTCTGGGCAGCCTACTTCATGGGTGGCACTGTGTGTTTCCAAGACAAAAAAAAAAAGGAGTCTCTTTGTATGTTATCAACACCATTGGTGATCAATGCTTTATCAGAGGACTCAAGATGGTGACATTCTTATTATTCCTTCTTAGTTTATTAGCAGGAATCTATAAAGAGGAGTCCCTCACTATTCAGTTTACCCCGAGAACCAGTTCATGTTTACCAATTTCCAAAATGGTGATCCTCCGCAGGTAAACCAGGAATTTCTTCTGGCATATATCAGCATGAACCAGGATAAATATCCCTTTCAGGGATATTATTACCAATGACTGGATTTTCTTTCTTTTTTTTTTTTTTTTTTTACGGGAGAGAGAATCAGAGTTGGACACTTAACTGACTGAGCCGTCTGGGTGCCCCTATATTATTATTCTTATTGATGCTCAAATGTTTCCATCTTTGGCCTGCATATCTTCTTTTGAAATAAGCCTAGCAGTTTTTGATAAGCTTCTTTGCTTTCTGATATCAATGTTCATGTGAAAATCTTGGCTCTCAACCATACCAACATAATTAATCATTTGTTTTTCACACAATATACATACCACAGTCTCAGAATAACAGTACCAATGGTAACACCTATAAAATAATGGCTGAAAGCAATGTGAAGATTATTTTGCTATTCTTCCTTTGAGTATAGGGCAGATTGCACTGATGGCCCCAATTCTTCAGGTCTTCCATCCGCCAAACACCTTGATGTTAGACCAGTTGGAATAATAGCAAACCCTGTAATCAGAGGCCTGAAAAGCAGTGGCACACTGGGGCTTGCTTGTGACCCTCCACCAAAACCATGAGAACATAACTGGGCTAGCCTGCCAAAGATAACACACATGGTGCCCTCCCACCCCTCATCCCAGCTGATACACATGATGCCCCCCATCCCTCACCCCAGTTGATAAGCATTGTGTCCCCTGCCCCTCATCCCAGCTGAGACCATCCTAGACCAGCCATTTGACAGACAACCAGACAGTAGTGAGTTCAGCTAGACCCATTATTGGACTAGTTCCATTAGAGCAGTCAGCTGATCTCCATAACTAACCAGATGGATGAGCACATCCAGCCAAGATCAGCAGACCTACCTAGCAAACTTGTGGACTTGTGAACAATTTGGTTGCTGCTGAAAGCCACTGGTTGGTTAAACAACACTGTGCCAAGAGATAACTGACACAGTCTATTCTATTAGGATTGAATCTCAAGGGGCACCTGGGTGGCTCAGTGGATGAGCATCTGCCTTTGGCTCAGGTCACGATCCCAGGGTCCTGGGGTCAAGTGCTGCTTCGGGCTCCCCTCAGAGAGTCTACTTCTCCCTTTCCCTCCGTCTCTGCCTCTGTGTGTCTCTCATGAATAAATATTTTAAAAAATAAAAAGGATAGATTACCTCAATTTACCATATTTACAGTCATTCAAAATAGTTTTCCTCTGTGGCTATACTGCCAACCTGATACGTAAGTTCCGTTTTTTTAATTACTTTTTAAAATTTAACTTTGTTTTGCAATCATGTAATATATTTACAAGGTTCCAAAGTCAAATCTATAAAGTCTTACCTCTTTCTCCATCCTGTTCCGCCCTCCCCCATAGGCATTAAAATGAATCTATGGTTTATCCTAAAGTTTCAAAAATATATTTATAACCCCCCACCTTCAGATAAACCATGGCACACTACACAGACTCCGCCTTACTGTGCTTTCTTCGCTTAGAAATACATCCCAGTGATCCCTCATTCTTAGCTCAGCTCCATGGTACTTCATTATATGAATGCAATACAGTTTAATCGACTAATCCTCTCCTAATGGACATTTGGGTTGTTTCCAGTCTTTTAATATAAGAAACAGTGTTGCAATGAATAGCTATTCTTTTCATATTTTTGCCAGTGTATCTTTCAGATAAATTTCTAGAAATGGAACTGCTGGGTTGAAAGTAAATGCATGTACTGGGACAACTGGATATCCATGGACAAAACATGAAGCTAGACCCCTACCTTATATCACATACAAAAATTAACTTAAAATGGATCAGAGATCTAAATTTAAGAGTTGAAACTGTAAAACTCTTAGAAGAAAACACAGGGGTAAATCTGTATCAGCTTGGATTTGGCAATGGTTTCCTAAATATGATACTAAAACCATAGATAACAAAAGAAAAAAATAGATAAACTGGACTTGATTAATATTAAAAACTTTTACCACTTCACACTAAGATGGCTATCATAAACAAATGAATAAATCCAAAAGCAGAAACCAGCAAGTGGAGAAATTGGAAACTTTGTGCACTACTGGTAGGAATGTAACACGGGGCGGGTGTTGTGGAAAACAGTTTGACATTTCCTAAAGAAATTAAAACAGAATTATCGTATGATCCAGCAAGTCCACTCGTAGGTAAATACCTAGGAGAAATGAAAATATACGTCCACACAATTACTTGTTCACAGCAGCACTCTTCATAACAGCCCCAAAATGGGAACAACCCAAACGTCCATCGTTGGATGAATGGATAAACAAAACATGGTATATCCATAAAACGGGATATCACTCAGGATGAAGTTTGGATGCATGCCACAACACGGATGACCCTTGAAAACATCCAAAGTGGAAGACACAAAAGGCTTCACAATGTATGATTCCACTTACATGAAATATCTAGAATGGGCAACCTTATAGGCACAGAAAACATATTAAAGTGACCAGGGGTTGGTGGGGGAGGAGGATTGATGGGGGGAAAAAAGCAGATCTATACATAATTTTGCTCGGCATTGCTAAATTCCCCTCTGTAACAGTTGTACCATCTGCATTCCCATCCGTAGTATGGAGAGTGCTTCTCTGGACCTCCCCAAGGAGACTACTGTCAAACTTTTGGATTCTTGCCAATCTGATTGCTAAAATAGTATTTTAGTGCAGTTTTAATTTGTATTTTTTTCTTACAAAAAATCCTAAGGATGTTTTAGTCTGCTGGCATTGGTTATACAATCACCATGAGACTTCCACAGACAAATACATGAAGGTAAAATATTTTTAAGTTAAATATGGCAAGTCAAGCAAGTAAGAACTATACACATTAGCTAATGTTTTAACAAATTCATTATTACGGTTATCGTTATAAATTCTAATTCTAGGGCAGCCCCAGTGGCTCAGTGGCTTAGCGCCGCCTTCAGCCCAGGGCGTGATCCTGGAGACCCGGGATCGAGTCCCACATCGGGCTCCCTGCGTGGAGCCTGCTTTTCCCTCTGCCTGTGTCTCTGCCTCTCTCTGTGTGTCTCTCATGAATAAACAAAATCTTTAAAAAAAATAAAAATAAAAATAAATAAATTCTAATTCTAGAAATAAAAAATGTAAAACTTATTTGCATATGGTACCTTCTGCATGCATAGTACTCTGCTAGTCAACATTCAACAACAGAAAAGCCTGAATAATACTTTTGATGACTCCAGAAATTAGATAGAACATGTTTTCACCAAACATCAGAACCCTATTCTGGTTGCTAGTTTTAGGAGTAAAATTGTCATTGTGCATGTTACTTCAAGTCTAGAGAATTTTCCTATAACATTTTCAAGAATTTTCCTATGTAATCTGAAATGTAAGATCAAAGATGAAAGAATATAATTTGCCAAAAGGACAGAATGAGGTACAAGGTTACCTTTCCACTTAGCAACGAGCTTAGGATCTGAAATTGTGAAGTTTGGACGGCTTCTAGACAGGATACCTTTTCCAAAATAACCCTTCCGGGAAAAGAGAAAACAAAGTCAGTTTATGTTTAGTTGCCAATTTTTTAGCTGAGGGAAAACAACTATTTGAGTTAACAACAGATTTGTTCTATTTTTCATGGGTTTACATTTTCCCTCTGATTACTTAATGATTACTAACGAAGATCTTAGCATTCATCTCTGATTGTTTGAAGAGTTCTAGTAAGTTTTCAGTATACCTTATGTGCCTTATAACTAAGCTCAAGGCAATGGGACAGGTAGAGGCAGGGCCTTAGCCTAGACCCCCATCACAAGGATCAATGCCACATGCTGTATTCCACCTTGAGAAACTGGCTACACCATATATATTTTATATAAAGTGTCTAGAAAGGCACATTTTAGAGAGGAAGTGGATCACATAGGAAGTGGGTGACATGGGCTGGGAGTGGGAACAGGGATTAAGTGCAATGGTACTTGCATTCCCTGCTGGGAATCCCCCATACTGGACCATGATGGTGTTGCACAACTCTATGAATTTACTACAATCACTGAATTGCACATTTACAATGGGTGAATTTTATGACGCTAAATTATACATCAATAAAGCTATTTAAAAAATGCCCCAGTTGGAGCACTTGGCTGGCTCAATTGATATAGCATGTGACTCTTGATCTCGAGGTTGTGAGTTCGAGCCCCATGCTGGGGGTAGAGATTACTTAAAAAAAAAATATATATATATATATATAGTAATGAACTGGCTATGGACAAAAAAAAAAAAAAAAAAAAAAAGCAAGCTATCAATCTCAACCTAAATCTAACATTGGTGGAAAACAGCAAAAACTGGAAATTGTCCTTATCTAAGAAGAGGTCGCCAAACAGATGAGAGCACAGATAACAAGTCAGAGTACATGCTGAAGCCTCATCTGTCTCTGAGCCAGAACAATATGCCATTCTGTGTTTATCTCTGGAGATGGAATGGGAGTGGGGAGTTTTTACCCATTACATTTCTGTAAATTGCTTGGCATATTTATGAATATGCATGGCTTCTGTAACTTAAAGACAAGAAAGGCCAATGCACTGATTGCAGTTTATTGTTGAAATGTGGGTTCATGGGTTGGGGAGCCTTCCTCATCAGTATATGGCTTCAGGGCACCTGATTCAAATTGTGTAGTTCCTCTCCTACATGGGATTGAAAGGCAAGAAAAGAATATGGGTCAATTATGGTCTGATTTTGGGAGTGAATGGGAGGAAACAAAAAGGATACCTGGCTCAGGACTGTCAGGAAGTAGCCATGCCAAAGCCGCCAGTACTTACTTTCCCATAGAGCTGCTCCATATCTTCTGTGTTCCTCACAATTACATTGTTGTTTATCATCTCTGCTGTGAACACTTTGAAATCTTGCTTAGGCCCACAGTCTTGACCAAAAGGGATGGGCAGTGGAGACTCAAAACTCTCATATACTCTTCTTTTCCGCTTTGGGGCACGGAAAACTGCTTCTGCCATTTCTCAGGGGTAACTGTTTTTTAAAGAGTATAATAAGGAGAAAGAAACAGCCAATCCATAACTATATTGATCAAAAACAGGGTGCATTTATCTTTAGGCTCAGAAAATTTTGTGGTCTGTGGGAAAAATAAAATATTTAAAAGCAGTGAACTAGAAGAATGAGTAATGAGAACATTTTGTACAAGCACTACTAATCCATCACCTAAAATATCTCAATTCTCACAACCATGCCCAAGAAGTCAGTGGCAATATTTCTAACTAGAGTGGACAAGACTGAGGCCTAGTGTCATGCCCAAAGTCATCATGCCATGCAAAAGTCTATGGACAGCAAGCACAATAGGATTCCTATCAGGATTACTCCCATTCTTTCACTCAAACAACAGGCATTTACTGAATACCTACTAGGACCTTCTGATAATCAGAGGTGCTGGGGATATAAAGATAAGGCACTGTCCTCAGAGAATTAAATCTAGTATTTCCTTTTCCAAAAAAGGACCTTAATATATATTCTAAAGGTCATTCATCTCCCCATGTTTAAGGTAAATTAATAACAACAATGACAGAAACAGTTACCATTTCAGGTCTGTTATGTACCCACCACATACTAGTGGTGAAGAGCAGGAACTCTAAAGCCAGAGTGCCAGGACTGGAATTAGTTTTACTATGTCCTGTGTGATGTTGGGCAAAAGCTGCTTAATCTCTCCATGCTTTGGTTTCCTTATCTACAAAATAAGGATAAAAACAGACTCTACCTTAGAGTTAAGACCCCCCATAAAGGGCCTAGAAGAGTACCTGGTACATAATGAGCATCATGTGTGTATTTGCTTTAATTATTATTATGGGGTGAGCACTACCAACTCTGGTAGGTGAGGAAAATAGGTTCAAGTTAGAGAGACTTTGTAAAATGCCCCTTGGGATGATCCCAGGTCTGCTGAATTCCAAAGCCTCCACTCTTCTCCCTGGGTTCTGCTGCAAGCACAGGCAGCATCTGACCCACTTTGTCTGAAGGCCCACTATTTCTCAAGGTTAGGAGCTAAAGGATTCTGGATAATTATGGGATTACTTAGTGTGCACTCAGCACCCTGAGGAAGTAAAGGAAGCCAAAGCCAGTACCTCTCCCTTCCAGGCCTTATATTCAATCTGAGGAGACAAAACAAGCACATAACACATATGAAAGCAAACTGAAGGTACCACAACAGGCTGCAATTCCATAATGGCTAAAGGAAGGAAATGAAGTTGAGTGCATTGTGTGATAAAGAAACAGAGCCCCAGCAGATACATCTAACTTAGGAAAACTAAACCACATGCAAGGGGGAGAAAATGTACACAGTGCAAGAGTCTGGGCCAGGCACTCCACTCTTCCAACAGACACCCCGGGATGAGAAGGGAGACTTGAATCTGCTGCTCCTTCGTCCCAGGTTCAATTTAAGCTGACAGCAGATCTGGTGTTTGAAGATACAGTGGAGCCATATTACAAGTTTCATCTACATGGATCCAGAAAATGAAGTAAGACTGCTTATTAAAATGCCTCCTGCACCTAATACCAGCATCTATTGGGCAATGGATGCCACCAAGCCTGAAACAGCCAGTGACAATGGCCAAATCTGAGGAAGGTAAGTGGTTGTATGGGTTTATGACCATTAAAAAGAAATAAAATACCTTGCCTTGTCCATTGTGTGATACCTTTATCTGCCCTCTCAAAGAAACGGAGGAATTAGATGAGGACAAAGGAAAACACAGACCAAGGAAGAGTTATAGAAATTGATAAATCAAGTACAAAGATAACTATGAAAAAGAAGAATCAGCAAGTTGGAACCTTCATAGACTTGACTAAGTATGCTAAGCAGCAAAACACTAGAATTTTTAAGTAAGATCCCTCAAGGGAATTATATACTGAGCATGACTCATATACATTATAAATATATATAAACACACACACACACTGCTGTAAAGCATTCCTAACAAAACCACGTATGTTGCACATTAACGAACAATTAAGAGATTTTCTTCCAAGAGCATTTTAGCTAAACTGTCATTTGCCAACTTATCCCTCAATCTAAGCCAATGATTGCATTTAGTATTCAACAGAAGAAACAGCAATTTATTCTAACACTTGATGCCGTGTCAGCTTTTTTGAGGCAGATGTTGCAATCTAGTGAAAAACTTTCTAGGCATTTCCAGGAACATGTTGGACTTTTATGAGATTTTTCACTTTTATAACTTAACTTCTGGTTAGGATTTAACTTGTATATGCTACATTTGGAATTTTAAGAAAAGAGAAAATGTTAAATGGCTAACTTCAAGAACTTCCAATTAAATTATCTCAAACAAGTGACAATGAAGTTATATTTTAATTTGCCTAGTTTGGAATTTTCCCTCAGACTGATGCTATACACTTAAAAATACCAAGAATGAGCTAGGACACTTGATGTCAAGAACTTCGTACTTCAACCTGTATGTGTGTGACAGAAAGGTTCCTGCCACAAAACATTGTTTTCCATTAAATCTCAAAGTCTGTGATCTGGTGTTACTTTTGCCCATGTGGCAGAACAGGCTTCAAGAATTTGGCTGATAGGCGGGGCAAGATGGCAGAAGAGTAGGGTCCCCAAGTCACCTGTCCCCGCCAAATTACCAAGAATTTGGCTGATAGGCCTCCAATATATGCAAACCTGCCATCATTATCATGTGACCTTGCACAACCCACTTAAGCTCTCTGAGCCCTGTTTCTTCATCTTCAAATTGAACAGCACTGGAAAAGTCTGGAAGTCACTCAGATGTTAAATGCAAAATACCCATATAATTCCAGTCCTTGGTACAGATACAAGAAAACTGAAAACATGTTCATGCAAAAATCTGTACCTGAATGTTTACAGTAGTATGATTTATAATAGTTAAAAAAGCAGTAACAAACCAAATGTCCATCAACAGATGAATGGATTAAAAAAATTGTGATGTATCCATATAGAATGGATTACCAGCAAAGGAAGTGTTGATATATGCTACAGTGTGTATGAAGCTTGAAAGCATTAAGTGAAAGCAGTCACAAAAGACCACATATTGTATAAGACCATTAATATGAAAAGTCCACAACAGCAAATCCATAGAGACACAAAGTAGATTAGTGACTGCCAGCTGCTGAGTGAAGGGAGAAACGGGGAGTGACTGCTAATAGGAATGGATTTTTTTTTTTTTTTAATTTATGATAGTCACACAGAGAGAAAGAGAGGCAGAGACACAGGCAGAGGGAGAAGCAGGCTCCATGCACCAAAGCCCGATGTGGGATTTGATCCCGGGTCTCCAGGATCGCGCCCCAGGGCCAAAGGCAGGCGCCAAACTGCTGCGCCACCCAGGGATCCCAGGAATGGATTTTTTTTTTTTTGAGGGTGATGAAAATGCTTTAAAACCAGAGTGCAGTGATGATGTGATGGCTGACCAACTCTGTGAATATACTAACATTACTGAATTGTACATTTTACAAGGGTTTTTTTTTTAAGATTGATTTTATTCATTCATTCATTCATTCATTCATTCATTCATTGAGAGACACACAGAGAGAGAAAAGCAGGGACATAAGCAGAGGGAGAAGCAGGCTCCATGCAGGAAGCCTGATGTGGGACTTGATCCCAGGACACTGGGATCATGCCTGAGCCAAAGGCAGACTCTCAACCACTGAGCCACCCAGGGGTCCCCTACAAGGGTGAGTTTTATGTATGTGTAACGGTCTCTCAATAAAGCTGTTATTTTAAAAATTCAGTAGGACAAACCAAACGATCTTGTTTCATGGTTTTGTGAAGTTGTCTTGTGCTAAACTTGAAAGGTAAAGAGGGGAGAAAGGAATGAATTCACTATTCTCCATATGTGCAGTAGGCATTTACGACACGTTTCTTTAGTGCCATGATAGGAGAACAGCATAATGTCAAGGTATGGCGTGAGTAAATTGAGAAGAGGTAATCATCATCCATGGGTACGACATGCTAGGCACTGACTGTGCTATATGGTACACACATGGGTACTGGCATCCTCTTTCACAAACAAGGAAACTGAGTCTTAGAGAGGGCCAGTTATTTGCCCAAAGCTCCACTGTACAGAGACATAGCATTGCAAGAAGTCTGGCCTAGGGATCCCTGGGTGGCGCAGCGGTTTGGTGCCTGCCTTTGGCCCAGGGCGCGATCCTGGAGACCCGGGATCGAATCCCATGTCGGGCTCCCAGTGCATGGAGCCTGCTTCTCCCTCTTCCTATGTCTTTGCCTCTCTCTCTCTCTCTCCCTGTGTGACTATCATAAATAAAAATTAAAAAAAAAAAAAAGAAGTCTGGCCTAAAAGACCACCCATGTCTGAAGCACACACAGATGTGTAGGTACGACAGAGCCAGTTGTCAAGGGGTTTGGAACATGAAAGCTGGTTTAGACTTGGAGTTGATGCAGAGACTCTCAAGCAGGGAACGACGACTGAAATAAGATTAATTAACCTGGGATGGTATACAACAGTGGCTCTCAAGCTTGGCTGCCCTTAGAATCACCTGGGGGAAATCTCAAAACTCTAATGCTCAGAACTTACCTGCAATTACATCAGAAATTCTGGGGTGGGACCCAGGTGATCTTAACATGTAGTCACACAGCTGCCAACTACTGGTGACAGAATAGCCGATTCAAACTCACTCCCAACAGCTCCCTAGGGGCCGAGTGCTATGCACCTGTAAAGGATGTAGCTTTTCCTTTCCCAAAGGGGGAGGGGGGGCGGGGGCGGCGGCATACTTGCCTCCAAATACAAGTAGCATTAGGTCCATTTACTTTACTATGAAAAGTAGGGCTTGGGCAGCCCGGGTGGCTCAGCGGTTTAGCGCCGCCTTCAGCCCAGGGCGTGATCCTGGAGGCCCGGGATCGAGTCCCACGTCGGGCTCCCTGCATGGAGCCTGCTTCTCCCTCTGCCTGTCTCTCTCTCTGTGCCTCTCATGAATAAATAAAATCTTAAAAAATAAACAAAAAAAAGGGCTCATGTTTCCCTTGAACAAACAAGCTAACACCGTTCAGGTGCTCAGCAAACGTTTATTCCAAGCAAAACAAAAACGGGAGAGGGAATTCCATTAGTTTTCCGACCCCCTGGAAAGACCTTGCCAAACAAACCTGGTTAAAACCTCCTACTCAGTAAAGCTCACCTTCTCCCAATTAAAAAATGTTTGAAGCTCCAACCGTGTACCTCCTGGGCTATGGGAGGCAAGGATGAAAGGGACAAGGCGAACAATCCAGCCCCTGGGGAGTTTTCAAGTTAGGACGTGAGACTAAGCCACGTAAACAAAACATAAACCCCTTGAAGGCTGTTGTGAGGATGAAGGGGGTAACTGCGAAGGCGCCTCGTACCGGGCCTGCCGTGTGCAAGGTGTTGGCCAGACGGGGGCTGCGACAGCCACCAATGACCGCACGCAAGCCAGAGTGTGCAGGGCCCCCCAAGTGCCGACTCCCCGTCTTAATTCACCCCTCTGCAGACTTCCTCGAGTGCCCCCCCCCCCCCCAACAACCGCACCAGCGGCTGAGGCTCCCCAGGGGCAAAGAGGGTGTCCGATACACCTCGACGTCCCCGGCCCCCAGTACTGGATGTGGCCACGTCCAGTTCCTCAGAAAGAACGAAAAGCAGCACAAAGGGCTACAGGTGCTCGCAGAAGAGGGGGTTGCTTCGGGCGCGACCAGGAAGCCTGGCTCCCCGCCCGGCCCACTCTGGGGTGGCTGTGCCACCGGGGGAAGGCTACACGCCTTTCTCGCTTCCGGGGGGGGGGTTCCGAGAAGGCGACGACTCTTCTCGCAGCAGAACCCCCACCTCGAGCCGCCGCCACCGCGCTCAGCGCCTCCGGACGCCGCTGGCAGCCAAGCCCGCGCCTTACCTTTCTCGGCCCCACGCGCTTGTCGTTGCCTCGGCAACGCCGGCCGGAGGGCGGAGACCGCTGCCGTCAAGCAGTGCGGCCGCAAAGCCGGGCCGAATGCGCAGCCGCGGAGCCCGCGGGAGCGCCCGCCGGGTGCTTGCGGAGAGCGCCTGCGCAGGCCCTGAAGGCGCGTTTTCTGTGCCCCGGTTTCACCCTTCTCCGCGTGTAAGCGAGTTCCCCTTCCTGTCCCCCCCTGGAATATACAGATGCTGCTTTCGTTTAATCCCCACAGCGGCCTCGCAAGATTCATTTAACATGTGACATCCTCAGTTATTGTCCGATGTCAGCTAGTTAGGAGGTAGTGGAAATGGGACTCTAACCCAGGCGCGGGGGGCGGGGGGCGGGGGGCGGGATGGGACACGGAGGGCACCCGATTCCACTGAAGAGAGCGGGTGTGTGCGCGGCCCCCCGACGGCGCCCTCGGCCCTCGCAGTGTGGATGCGTCGGCTGCAGCACGCCCGCAACCTGCCCGCAACCTGCCCGCAACCTGCCCGCCGGCGCCCTCTCGCAGACGCCGGTCTAAATGCCACTGTGCAGGGCTGCCCGTGTGGTGAAGGACAACGGCCAGGAGTCAGGCTGCGTTGAGATCCCCAGCCCCTCTCCCTGGCTGGGCCGGCTCGAGTGATTTACCCTTTTTGAGCTTTGGTTTCCTCTATGGAGAAGTGGGTCGTTAGAATTACGCCGGATGCGCAAAATAAAAGGGCGTGGGAAAGCGTTAAAAGTTAATCCTGACCTGGTTATCTTAAAGGAGGTCTAGTAGGGAGTTCAATGTATACTTTTCCCATTATGAGTCCCAGGGTCCCCAGCACACGTACCACACGTGCTGGGCAGGTGGGGAAGGTGGGTGACAGGGAAGGGTGGCAAATAATGCCAGGGAGATTCATGGGGCTTGATGTGATGGCTTTGAAATCTTTGGAATCCGAGGCTTTTTCAAATTTCTCTGGTCTCCAGGACTTCACGCACACTTGCCTTGGCCTTGGCCTGGACCATCCTCCTCTCCTTGGTTTGCAGCAGTAATTCCTGCCCCGCCCCAGGCCTCAGCTCATATAGCTCTTCCTCCAAGAGACTTCCTCTTGCCTCCCTAGGCAGTCTTGGGTGGCTTTCCTCTGTTTCTGCAATAGTTTGGTGTACCCTGTGTTGTCCCTGTTTCCTGGTCCCTTTTTTTTTTAAATTTTATTTATTCATAAGAGAGAGAGAGAGAGGCAGAGACACAGGCAGAGGGAGAAGTAGGCTCCTTGCAGGGACTCGATCCCAAGACCCCGGGGTCACAACCAGGTCTCCAGGATCAGGCCCAGGGCCGAAGGTGGTAGTACACCACTGAGCCGCCCCGGCTGCCCTCCTGGTCCCTTCTTAACCTGAGGGCTTCAGTGGATGGTCTACCTGCACAGGCCTTAACTGCTGGGCTTAGAGTTCAGACTTTGATTTAGATAAATCAAAATGAGTATATTTCCCTGGTTAGAGTGTTGCAAAAAAAAAAAAGAATTTCAGCAAGGTTCACAGACTAGTGGCATCAGGATGAATGGGGCAGGGAAGAGAGAGCTGGCAGGAGGCTGCAATATTGTAGCAGAACATGCCAATTTAGGAAATAATGGTTTTAGAATGAGAGGGTTTTAACAATGAAGGGGAACCCAGAGGCTGTCCAATTCAATTTCCTTATTTAACTGATAAGAAAAAAGGTTCAGAGGCACTGTGGGTTACCAGAAGTAGCAGAGCAAGTCTGAGGTGAGGCAGAGACTACAGCCAGGGCTCCCGAACCTCTCAGCTTGGTTCTCTGCTTTCAAGGGTTTGGGATTCCCCCATAATGAGATCTCAGGTGGTATCATTGGGAGCCCTATCCCCACAGAGGGTCCAGAGTGAAAGCTACCAAGTAAGATATTCTTCCCCCAAGGTTTTATCATCAATCTGTTTTTTAAACCTTCTGTCACGGTCATTTTCAAACACAAAAGTAGAGAGAATATTCTAATGAATTACCACTTCCACAGTCTTTCACCTTTGCTATCATGTTTCTTTTATACTCTCCATATGTATACCTTTATCCCACTGCTGGAATATTTTAAAGCAATCCTAAACATCATTTAATTTCACTCATAATATTTCAGTGTGTTTCTCTACTAGATAAATATTTAAATTTTATAGTGAAAATGTTATTTAAATTCTACAGTTCTATAGTGAAACCCTGAACACCAAACTAGTGAATACTAAACCATCACTCATGGAAAATACAGGGCTAGGTTCCTGCCAGACTCTGGTCACAATATGTTTTATCAACTGATGAGTACATAACCTTACTTTCTGTTTAAAGACACTTTATTTAATATCTCTTGTTGATTCATTAACATTGAACTAGTGGCCAACAGCCCTGTAACTCATGCCTGAATAAAGCTAATCTAACATGGGTATTTTCTCTAAGTCACATCACAGCCTTCTTGGCTTAGAAACGCTAGACAGCACTACAGCACTCTGCTTGGTGTCCATTTTAAGCAGTGACATCAGCAAAAAGCATAAAAATGAGAAAAACGTGGTACTAAGGAAACCATCCAAAGCAAATTTGTTTAAAGTATGAAAGCTGGAATAGGAAGAGCTCAACTGTTGACTTCAGCTGGGAACTTGCATACTGGGAGACTCAAATTTGTCACCACTCTATGCATGTGCATGTCTGTGAGTGACTAAGTGCTGTCAATATTGATTTTGGCATGACAAATAAGTGTTAGCCAGTAGGTGAATTTGCAAACGTGGAATCTGCCAATTTGTATGTGTGTATGTATTTATATATATACATATCCCCAATATAATTAGCACATCTAACAAATGAATAATAATGCTTAATATCATTTATCTGTGAAATATTATACAGAATCTCTATGTAATATTTGGAATATAAAGTCACTTATCTGAATTCAAGTTCAGGCAGGTGTCCTGTATGTAATCTGACCAAGCAAACAATGATTTATTGGGTGTTTATATGCGCTGGTCACTTTGCCTCCTGTTTTATTTAATTCTCACCACAGTCCTGTGAGGTAGGTGTTCTCACCTCTATTTCACAGTTGAGGTTCCCTCTCTCTTCCAAGTTCTCAGAGCTGGGCAGTAGTGGAGGCCAGATAAGGATTCAGATCCACGGGACTGCAGGGCTTGGGATCATTTTAATTAATTTATACGACATGAAGAGGGCAGTACATTGACAACACACAGCTTTAAATACGGAAATACAAAAATAACGGCAAGTGTTTGTTGGTAGGAGGTCGGTGGAGACCAGGATGGGTTGAAGGGCCCACATAGCCTGGAAAGAGAGTTAGCTTCAGGAGAGTGGCGAGGAGAAGGGAGACAGTGGGCTGGGGCACAGGGCAGGCCTGTGTACCAGGCAGGTGTGGGTTTTGAGGTTCTGGTGGGGAGGAGCTGGGCCAGGCCGGGCAGGAGGTCGCCGCCAACGATAAGGCCCGATAGGCAGGGCGGGCCCGATTGTGCCGGCGCTCGAATTCCAGGCTTGGCATTTGGACTTTACCCTGCAGACAATGGGGAGCCACCGGCGTCTCTGAGCAGGGCAGGGCAGCCCCAGCTGTCGCCCCATTGTTTTTCCCAGACGGGGCCGAACGCTGCAGTATTTCAGTGAACCCACTAGATGGAGATATTTTAGCAAATTTAAACCACCCAGTCTTTCCTGGACACCAATTTCCAAGGAGAAAAAGCAAACATTGGGACCCTGCAAAACCTCCACATGTTGACACACAGCATCTTCGAGGTAAAATGCAAGGGATGTGAAGCAAAAATCAAACCAGGGACAGTCCTACTGTGAAGGCCTGCTAGTGAGACGAGACCTCAGGCCATCTCACGACTCAGGCCATCTCACGGCTTTGAAGGAGAAAGGGTCCTGGATGAACGGGAGGGGGCACAGCATAACAAGTGCCCTCCATTTATTATCTAGCACTTGAGGCAGGTGTTATGTCATTGCACAGGCAGGGAAACCAAGATGCTGTGAGGTACATCTGCTCAATGATTTAAGGAGCCAACACCAGGCCAGGCCAAGCCCAGGGATAAGAGTTGACAGCCTATGGTACTGTGGATTGTGCAAACCTCTTAGGTGCTGGATCACTGGGCCCAGGGTCCCTTGTGCAAAGGGTTGGACATTGCCTTTGATTCTTCTTTGGTTGCTAGAAAAATCTTTAACATGAACGATGATACCGTTTTGCACGATTCCAGCTGCTTTTTAAGAGAGTCTCAATTCTCTCACAACAAGCCACTGAGTTAGGGATTATCACAGTATATTATCACAGTATAATATCACGTGATATTAAAGTATCACCTACTTTATAGGTAAGAAAATAGATTCAGAGTGGTGATTTGTCCAAGGTCACACAGGGAGGAAGCACCAGAGAGGGAAATGGATCCCAAGTATGTCCATTCCTGTCCTGTTTTTAGCAGTCAAGCACATTCCACATCTGGGGA